ACCCAGTCTGGGACCTGGTTCGTCTCAAGACAGCCTGAGCAGCAACCAGCCGACCGATCCTTTCCTGCTGGAGCGGATGAACCCTGTCATCATTTCTGGTGGAGGACTTGTCGACAACAGAAATAATAGCGTAGACTTGGTCCGGTCAGAGAGCTACCAGAGCCTTGGATATGCCTCTGAGGTGTCTACAACATCCAGCATTGGGCGAAACCTAGCCCCATCAGCCATTCCACGAGGTGGTCCTCATCCCTCCCTTAGCCGTCGTCGGCCTTCCGACAGTAGCGATTCCGAGGCGGTTACCATGAAGCCTACCTTGGCGTTCAGGCGATCCGTTCAGCGTTTGCGTTCGTCTCCGGACCAGAGTCCACTGAAGCTCCCTCAGCCTATCAACACCACTGGGGTCACATCGCCATCAATCAACAGCCATGACACAAGCATTCTTACGGATGATTCGCAATTCGAAATGCATAGAGAGGTCATTCGGGGCCGAATTGCTGCAGCCACTGCGGCAACTCCAAAGAAGCTCACCAAGCGTACACGCTCTCCAAGGAAGTGGAATCTCTTCAGCCGATCCCAGAGCCAGCCGAACACCAAGAAGTCAGAGAAGGGTGCTGTGCCAGTAGCTGCAACCGTAAAAGTAGTACAGCACAAGCCCGCTGCTTTCTACACTCTGATGGACGGTTCCGAGCAGGAAGACATTGGTACTCCAGACGTCGAGGAGATTCTTCGCGAGGCTGAAGTCTTTGATCTTCCATCCCCTCCGCCTGTTCTGAAAGAAAGACGAACATCCTCTGCAAGCCAAACCAACAGGAGAGAATCATTGAGCAGGCTTTTGCAGCCAACCAAGTCATCGCAGGCTCGGAGAAACTCGGCGACCGCAAAGTCAACTTCAATCCCAGCAATTCGGTCCATGAAGCCTACCCACACACCTCAGTCTAGTGTTTCGAAGCCAGCTGAACCGCGCCCAAGTCGCCTCCCTCAAGTCGGTCGGATCCCCAAGGTCGTAACCTCTCGGCCAGAACACACCTCATCGAGAAGCTTCTCTCGGCCTTTCAACAGAATCAGCATGCAGATGCCGCCGCAAGCCGCAAGCTTCAACCCGGATTTTGTTGCTTCGGGTGCGACCCCAACCCCGGAGCTTTCCACGCCCGAACTGTCTCGTGGAGAATCTACCGCGACCAGCGACAAGACCAACTCGGACCCTCGTTCTTCTCTCGTTCCCGTCAAGACGCCCGAGATGATCCAAATCAGTAGAGAGTTTCTGGCGTTTTCTCCTCGAAAGAACTCCGAGTGCACCACAAGCACTGATTCCAGCAGTCTCGGCATGTACACCCTTGCAGATGCCATGGCTTACGTGCCCGATCCGAATGCTCCTTTTGTCGAGGACGAGATCTGGGACGAGTACAACGATTTGATTGGCGACGTACCACCATCTGCGACTTCATCAAAGGGAGCCCCGTTTCATCTCGAGACTCACGGCTCGCGAATGTCAAAGAGATCCTTGAAGCCTCCCGAGTCTCCTACCATTGCGCCGTCGGCAAAGACTCTGGAGAAGAACGTCGAGGTCGAAGCGGGGCCTACAACGTCTAGTGTCTATTCCGCCGATATGACCGAACGTCTTAAGGCCGCCTTTGCATTGAAGCCTGAGGGAGAAATCCTTGTGCCCGTTGGCGAGATTCCTGCTAGAGTCATTGACCGCGAGAGCACTGAGCTAGCCCGGAAGGCGACGGCCGCGTCTCAGAGAAGCAGCGGCTCGTCTCGCAAATCAAGACAGTCCGACTGCAGCTGCAAGTCTTCCGAGGATGAGTCGCCGCTCTCTCAAGTCAACCTTCGTGTCGGTTCAATGACAGTCAGCAAATGGTTGTCTTTTGGTCATGTGCTCTTCAGCCCAGCCCGGGATCAGCTTCTGGACGTGGTCGGCTCGCTGAAGCGTCACTCCATTCTCGTCGTCGATGGCCTTGGTAACGATGACTGGTCGTTTTACGCGGCAGAGACATACCCTGCTGCCACCTTTTTCAACTTGTCGCCCCGCGCGCCGTTGCCAGAGGAGCATAAGAACTCGTCAAGCTTCCCACTGAGCCCGCCAAACCACCATCAGATTCAGTACCTCTCTCAGATGGACAAGTTCCCCTTTGGCGCAGAGAGCTTCACCTCGGTGGTCTTCCGCTTCCCTGCAGCCGCGCCCGAGTCTCACTATCGGAACATTGTTTCGGAAGCACGTCGAGTTCTCAAGCCAGGTGGCTACCTGGAGCTCTCGATTCTTGACGTTGATCTCAACAACATGGGCAACCGAGGTAGGCGTACTGTCCGCCGACTGAAAGAACGCATCCATGTGAACAACTCGGAAATCAGCATTGGATCATCCTCTGACCTCATTCTACGCCTCCTCGGCCGCAAAGGCTTTTCTGACGTCAAGAACTGCCGCGTCGGCGTCCCGGTGGCGAGCGTTGTGACTCGATCGGAGAGTGGCAGCAAGAAGCCACCTGTCGCTGGTGCCCGGAAGGCCAAGGAAGTTCGCAGCCTTGCCGAAATGATGAACGAGGATGGTGACTCGGCCGACGAGAACATCACCAAGATGGTGGCCAAGGTGGGCCGGTGGTGGTACAGCCGCTGCTATGAGAGCGCAGCTGGAACCATCAGCAAGAGCATCTGGTCTGATCGTGCTTTGCTTTCCGAGTGCGAGGAGCTACGAACAAGCTTCAAGCTCATGGTTTGCTACGCACGTGTGCCGGATAGGGCGCGAACCGCAAGTATCTGAGTCTTTCAAGTCTCTTCATTCCTTGTTTGCTTCAGCCTGGTTTTCTTACTACCCTCATTTCCTACCACAACGCACATAACCCATTCCAACGTATCTTTATTACAAGGGCATTATTATGGGAGATCCGGAACGGACGAGGAAGCATCACAAGATCCAAGAGGGCGCAAGCCCATGGTCGACTCTACCTCACAGTGGCTGAGTCTTTTACCCCCTTTTACACAACGAAGCAGAGCAGCCGGTGAACACAGCACGGCGTTTGCGAGAGAGCTCATCTAACCCATTCATCCTTGGATGAGTGGGCATGGATAGCCCCTTCATCATCCCTTACTATCATATTTCCTTACCATCTATACGCAAGCCATCACTGGCGAAATATGTAACACATAGTATTGGGTCTTGAAACCCGTGGTCCTGTATTTGTCGACTGGCTGTGCCATGGCGGGAACGTCCCTTTCTCTTCTCTCATCTATCATTTTTACACAAAAGCAAAAGGCGCGATGTTAATATTCTCTTTCTACAACCTCATCAGCGATAGGACACTCTTTGGGAGCGGATTAGCAAGGAAAGCTGGACTGGACTGAATTCGGAACGCAGTATGAGTGCGAATAATGTGATGGCTGGGCCGTTGCGCTTCTCTGTTGGCTTGTCTCTTTCTTTCTCGCTCAATCGGAGCGCTGGGTCTCGGGAAGTGGTATCATGGCAAGGAACGAAATGAGAGAGACAGAGGATGGATGAGAAGTGCGGTGGCTCGAGTCCCAGCGGGGAAGGAAATTGGTAACGAGAGTACGGCATGATGATTCATGTTGGATGTCTGGACTGTCCTTGAAGCGTTTTGCATGGCACGAGATACCCCAATCTTTTGGTAGCGGAAATGAAATGATCTGATTATAATGTTGCGTCTTTTCCTTGTGATCTTTACAGTGTATCATCTCAACAGTTCCAGTGTTGTTCAGATGAAGAGTGTCACCTGCCCAGCGCATTTGAGACCGACGGTTCTTGCAGGCCGTGACCCATGGTTTCCTTCTCACCACGGGTTCAAAAGGTCGTGGCTCCCATTCCTGAATAATATGACGCAGCCAGCCCACCTGGGCTACTTACCTCCTCCCCATATCCAGAGTTCAATCTTCAGAGAATGCAGCTTCCGCCTCGGAGAACGCTTGGCAACAGGTCTTGAGGTGCCTTCCCTCCGTACCTGTTTGCCTCTCCAATCAGTAGGTACGCCTATTTTGCCCAATCCCCAAGCGGGATGGCGATGGGAGTGCTTGCCTTTGGTGATTCAGCTTACAGGAGAAGCTGCTGCTTCAACGTTGTCTTGGAGAACAAGATGCAAGAATAAGGTGCTTGGTCTTCTCCCTTAAAAGAGATAAAAGTACTCTACCTGCCCCCAAGCTGACGTCCGTTTCCTCCCCTCTTCAACTTCACAGACACCATGTCGTCCTTCACCATTTTCCTGGCTTCAGGTTTGGCTGATGTTCCTGGAAGCAGATCAGCATTGAGACACGGTCCTCTACGAGTAAAAACTTCGTTCTTCTCTGGAATCAAATTTCCTGACATCCAAACTTCGTCGTTTCAGAAAAAAGCCATGGGACTTCGGAGTTTTAGGATGGTTCTGGGGAGTGTGGCTCTGTTGTTCAATCCTGGGGCCATCACGCGAAGTTGGTCGAGAGGAGAGATCCCTCCAAGTGGCAGAATATGACAGGCGTCCCAGGTCAGAACAACGAGTTCAAATCATCTGTATTCAGCTCACGTGAGTTTATTCAGTAGGTAGTTCGCATACACACTCATCCACAGCATCGTCTCCACATTCATAGTAACTCGAAGGTGAAGGAAGCCCTCTAGCCCACGAGACTTGTTTGGTCGACACTGTGAATCAGACGCATCTGTTGTTTTTCCTCGCCCCAGGCGTTGCAAGGTCTTCTGAATACTTCACCTCTTCACGCTGGACCGCGCCCACACTTGCCTCCTTCCATTCAGAGGCTTTCTACCTCCCTTCTTCATCCGCCTTGATCAAGACTCCCAAACAACCACCGCGTTTCTTCCCCTCTTCATCTCGGGCCCATGCAGGCTTCTTTCCTCCTTTCCAAATTCCACTCTCCTATTCATTGCGTCCCTTGCGACTCATCCCTCAACCGCTTCTTCCTTCTCGACCGAGCGTCGCCGGAACACACATCATCGCGACTCGATCGCCTCTTCAGCCATCCTTACCTGCTCATCTTTCAACGTCCGTCATCTCATTGCGAAGATGAGCTCCCACAATATCCCCAAGCGCAATGCCACCGGGGCATTTGCGACCCCAATCGATCCGCCTCAGCTTCGCGCTCACCCTCGCGACCATCAACAGCAGGACGGCAACGAGAATCTCATTGACGAGACTGCCAAGATGGCAAAGAGGCTCACCGAGGGCCCCTCCCAGACCCAATGCGTCTTTGGCAATGAAGACATTGTCCCCGGCACCAGCATTGCTGGCGTCTCCGGCCGCCTTGGCGATCCCAAGCTTGCTTCGATGCAAAAGATGGTTCTCGACTCGGTTCCTGAGGGAAGTCAGGTTAAAATCATCTATCTCATCACCAAGGTAAGCCATTTCATCTCATTTCATCTCACCAAGCATCACCAACTTCTATTACTGCCATATTCACGCGTGATGCCGCGGCTAATGATGAATAAAGGAGGATGGGAACAACGATCTCCGAGCTGGAATTATCAACAATGCCGCTGCTGCACAAGCTGGACCTTCCGAGGCTGGCCGCATTGTTCAACAGAACAATGCGGTTCAGGACCGCACTCCCGCCCAGGCCCTCCAGAACAGACAGGGTGAGGACCATGATGAAGAGGATGAAGATGTCTCCCTGCGGCCTAGAAAGCGTCGCCGAGCTTCCTGCCGAGTCTCTCCTCTTCACATGTCGCTTAGAGGCCTCAAGGCCGAGCAAGAGGACGAGGAAAGTGAGATCAAGGAAGAGGCCGATGATGAGGTCAAGGAAGAGGTCGATGATGAGGCTCTCTTCTTTGCAGCACCCGACGAAGTCATCAATCGCAGCATCTCTAGCTCGCACGCCATGCACAGAACGACTCCCTCCCTATATGGTCTTCCTTCTGGAAATAGCTTTCCGTCATCGACTCGAACCGCTCAGCATATCAACCGCTCAGCATATCAACCCCTCTGATGACAACGATGATGGTGACGAGGACGACGGCGAGGAACCAGTGCAAGTCAGATACAATGGAGGTTACTTTGATAACTTTTTCGCCGCATATGATGCCGCCTTCTCCGCTGAGGATCCTTATCCCTATCTCCGGAGCTTGGATGATCTCGACCTTCCCGGACTGCGTTGATCAGAGCGAGTGAATACAATGGAGAGAGTATCACTAGCACTCACTAGCCTAGAGATACGCAAGAAGGTCTCGAAAGAAGCACTTGTGGAACAGGACTTCTTTGGTCTGCGGGTATTGATTTGCACTTGGACGGACACACAAGTGCTGTGGGCTTTCTGAAGGTCAACAAGGAAGACATCGAGCCAATGGGACAGAGAGTTTGTTGGTCGCTGCATGTAGTATGAGAACGAAAGGATGGTGAGAAAGGCTTGTACATAAAGAAGAAGTGCAAGCTACCTTAGTTCACTCAAAGCTACTAGTACACCCTGAACCCGCAGTCCTTTCATGGACAGTGCTTTGAGTGAATCTCTTCCGATCTAGACTATAAAGAGAGAGTTCTGTTTGTAGGTAGTTAATTCAATCACCTGACGTTGCCAAGTGTGGTGCCCGTTGCGTACAGCATCCGAATGCTGTCAGAGTCACGATACACCTTAGGACCTGGCGAATACGTGTTGCTGGTACCATAAACGGGTGCAGTCCAAGACTTGTCATTGGGGGACTTATAGGAACCGTAGTCATACCAAGCACGGATGGTGAGTCTGTCGGGCTCGGACCAAGTATGACTGAATAATCTGTTGGACAGCGTGAACAGTGGCCATTCACTTCGATTCCCGGCTGATTGACTGCCAATCTGACGGCGTTGCCAAGTTCCTTTGGGGGGCCAACCCGAGATTCAGATCCACCGATGTGCCGACAGATGCTCTCTGAAACTTACCAAATACCATGGTCTTTTTGATAAATCAGCTCATGCTGCATATATAGTATGAACCTATCGGCGATAATTCTTGGCGCGGCGTGGAAACAAGACTTGGTCTTGTGACCTGAATAAGGGCCGGACTCGGGGGTAAACGGCGACATGATCTTTTTCAAGTACTCCTGGTCGGCAGCTGTTTCGAGTCGTGTAAGCTTGAGTGCGAGTTGAACATGGCTCTCTCGAATTTCGAAACGGGATAAGAATTGTGCTTTATGTTTGTCATATGGGCAAGCACGCAGCATATGCCAAGGTACGTCGTTCGCGTTATTGCGATGGAGCCGGTGGTAGCCTCCGCAGACCCAGTGGTTGGGTTTGGTGAATGACAAAGCAGCCAAAAAGTCTTGTTGTTGACTGACGGCAAGGCGAGTGAACAGCAGCTTCCAGTCTTTCTGGAGGAGAGTTTGCATGTCTTTGCAGGTTTGACGCAGAATGAACTGGTCATGCAATTCAAGCAAGCTGCTGATATGAAACAGCATCTCATTCGGAAGCTTCAAGAAACTCGGTACGGTGTATGTCTTCGGTTGAATCCGGTGAACTGAATCCTTCACAAGCGCCTTCACCCTTTGGGAAACCCTCTGCGCCAAAACGCGGCCCAAAAACAATCGCCATACCACGCTTCCTTCCCTATCCCTCGCGGGACCAAATCGGACTCGCAGGGCCCGCATGACACCTCGCAGGCTACAGTCATCCTCCGCAGCAGCAGTCGCCCGCGCGGCGGACAGCACGCTCGCGTCAACTGTTGCATGGACCCAGTTCCACACAGCTCGGTACTCCTTTCTGATATCGTCGCGCTCGACGACAGCTTCATAGTATTCTGCAAGACGTGCTGCAAACTCCTCGCGGACGTCGTCGTGGGTGACTACCGCTGGCGCAGGCGGCAGGGGCTGCTGAGGAGACCCGCGCGCCCTTGCCGAATAGGCCGCTTGTAACTCTCGAAAATATTGCTCTTTGAGTTGAACCTGTCGCCATGAAACCAGCTCATCAATCTTTGGGATGTAGAGGATCCGCTGTGTGGAATCCGAGGCGTTGGGTGGTGCCGTGGGGTCGATGTATTCCCAGATGTTGCGTTGATGGGCCTGGAATTTTAGCTGTATTAGCCATGAAGGCCAGTCCTTGCGATGTTTTATGCGTGCCGTGGTCGGGCTTGTAGTCTTCAGAGTGGATAGCTGTGCAGCGGAACTAAGAGCGCATGTTGTTCAAGAGAAGAGTTCAAGTAAGTGGTTCTTTGGGAAGAGCGGGCCACGATCCGCTTCGTTTTGGCGAGGAACGCGAGCCTTTATGGGTTTGGCGACCATTGTCACGAGGTTCTTGGGAACCTTGGCGGAAGGTTGAGTGCGTGCGTTATTGGGACGATCAGACTCTGCCGAAGGCGACGTCAAGGTTGGAAAGTTAAAAGAGGGAAAGAAGCAGGAGTGTTGTCATTCGAAGATGTGAGATGTCTTGTTTCCAAATAACACAATCATCCCATCTGTACGGCAACTAATTTCATACTTTGCGTCTTGTCTGAGCCTTGTCTCCTGTTCAAGTCAGAGTAGACATTGAACTGCATCTACTGAACCGTTCGTGTCTTGAATACTGGCCATCATCCTTTTCCCTGTTCACCTTTTCGTCTTTACACTAGACAATGATGATTGGGCGAGTTAAGGAGCGGTGCGGGAGAGCCACGATACGCAGCCTTCTGCTGTTCATGAACTAGAACCTCCCCTTCGACCGTCACATACGACCATACCCATTAGAAAACTCGGGATCCCGTCCGCTCTCCCATAGATAAACTAATGAGGGCCGGATTAGTAGTTGGGTCGGTGACGACCAGCGAATACCTGGTGTTGTATGTTTTTGACATCTTTTGTTCAGATATCGTGAGTTTTGTTGTGGTTGGTGACGGCGCTTTTTGGTGACGTAGGTGGGGTTGGCGGGGTTGATGGGCTTAGTGGGGTCGCGGCTCATGTTGAGACATGTAGAGGATGATGAGGTTTGCTGTCTTTTGCTAGTATATGTTTTTTGTGTCACTGACGTGGAAGTATACTCCGAAATAGGTGGCTTAGCCTTGGTACACGTCCAGCGATATTTTACAATTGCCATCTGAGAAGGGCTTGGCCCGCGTATTTGGGCAACAGGACTGGCCAGATCAATTACCTTACCTATTTGGGCCATACAAGCAGTACGCCTATCGAATCGTGTCGCGAGTTGTTGCAAAATCTCGATAAGAAGCTTCCACAGTATTGACATAATCCTTGATTTACGATATCACATGCCTTGTTTCATAGGCTTTCAGATAAGAAAGGCCCCGAGCGGCAGGAACTTAATTAAGACGGCCACAGAGGATCGACTGAGCAGTATTTGGGTGAGCCTAGGTCTGCCTGTGAACGGGTTATAATTGAGCAAGGGAACTGGCCTGAAAACGTATTTGGGGCCCAGGATATGATTGAAGGTTTAAGATGCCTTGGGCATAATGAAAATATCGGTGTGATTGATGCTCACTTACGTTCACAACGATAGCAGTGAGAAGAAAACCCTCGACTCGCCATACTCTTACGTAGACTAAATATAATAGTATGTATTAAATATTCCCTTGACGGACATATCGGCTATCTCTACTCATTATCTACCCACGCTTCTCGATACGCGGTCAGCCGTCGGAGCAGATACTGGAGAACTGTATGCGTCTCCTTGTTTCCCTCTACGTCTGATAAGGGAGTTATCTCAGGAAAGAAGGTCTTGATCGAGCTTTGTCTCTCACCTCAACGTGCAAATTCTATGAGGTCAACAATGTTCATACCTATTTTACGTATCTGCTGATGCCGTTGTTAGTGTGTCTTGCGAAGCTTAAGCTCTACTAATGCCATGCCATCTTGTACTCGGCGATGCTTTTTTTTTGGGAGGACTCTGACACCAACAGCTCTCTAAAGGTGCGCTATGCCTGTAAATTCTCTTCGATCCCGTCGGAAAGGAGGAAGAACGATTCAATTGGTGCGGCCAGGCGATCGGCGGTTGGCGGACTGCTCCATGGAAACGCGTATTAGTACCTCAATTATTTATAAGGCTCGGCTTGGATTAGGGAATTAGCACTTAGAATATTCGTGAGAGTACAGTGAAAAGACAAGATGCGAATGAGCTGAAGTTAAAAACGAACACAGGAGGGGGGAAGGTTTTAGAAAAAAAGGGGGGGGGGGGTGGGGCGACCGCAGCAGTAGGCAGTTGAATGAGTGCTGTTCCAAGATTCAGGTTGAAGCCATAGCAATCGAGAAACGTCGCATTTGACTACTGTTAGTTAGGTGGCCGACATCACGACGGTCGCACTTTCCCGAGGTTTCTATAGGACCGTAAATACAACAGCTATCGAAGTGAATCTGGTCTGTAGATTGCCTCACATCCGGATTGGCTTGAAATTTAGCACCGAAAGATACCGCTCAGCCGAAATATATAGCTGTCTCGATGAAACCATCACACTGCCAATACCCGTCCCCCAAGAATAGACACCATGCCGACCATGACGACTGGAAGTGGATACCGCTGCCCATCATCCGAGCATCAAGCGCGGGTCGGATAGGCAGACATTGCGCAGGCTGACTCCGTGCGGGGTAATTTCGTCCACACTCATAGCATCCGCCGGGCAACAGCCACTTTGAACCATTCTTGTCCCAGGACTATTCGCAGGAGATAGAGAACATATAGCAATCGAGCAAGGCAATCTGTCATCTATACTCTCTGATCAGCATTTCGACACTCCAATGAACGAAACCGTTACTCCTTCCACCAGCGAGGACCCTGCCGTCGACATGGCAAACGATGACGATCACTCCCGCGAAACCATGCGCGACAACAACACTCTCCCAACACATAAGCTCGAGCACTTGAAGGTTGGGGCAAATGGTGTACAGCTCCTGGTGTCTACAAAGAATCACTTGTATGATGCCAAGAACGTTGAAGGCGGCGACAGCTCGTTCCAATGCGTTGGGTCTTGGGGCGAGGGGTCTGTCCAGGAACTTGGAAAAATGGTAGTTTCGCATCGAACACATACGGACCGGCCACATAATACCCCTCCTGCAACGACTTTTCGAGGAACAGGACGGACCACGGCCTCCTTTACACAAGATTCTGGCCCATCTACGGCGACATCATAGAAGGGATTTGGCGTGTTTAATGAACCTTGACAACTCTATTTTTTCGTTTGGCTCTGGAAGAAAATCCGCAGTGCCTCTTCTGATACCGATCCGACAAATTGGATACCTCTGTCGCCTGTGCTCGCTCCTTTCACGTTGAAGAGATCACCCAGAGTAGAGACAAACAGCTGCTGTCCATCATGGCCTGTGCTCATGTCCTCCAATACATGGACCCCCTTGACTGCTCTTTGTGATGCGGCGTTGCATATGGCCAAACATTCTTTAGTGCTGTCGAGCTCTTTCTTCAAGCTTTGAATGTCGGTTTCTGTGGGCAGAGAAATCTCGCTGGTTTCTCGTGCCAGTCGTCTCTTGTTCTCATCTTGGTGCCGGTGCAGCTCCGATACGTTGTCAGCTATCATCTGCTTGCAGTGGTCCAAAGTCGATAGGGTCATGACAGTCGCATGCCCCAGGTCCCGGCAGGACATCCCTTGCGATGGCGGACTACCTGGAATTGGTCGAAGGCGCATGGTGTCGATGTGAGCTTGAACTTTGGCACAGATTTGAAGGCAAACCTCTGTGCTGTCCCTCTCATTCTGGATCCGATCTATGTCGGTGGTAACTGCTGGGGATGAAGGTGTATTGTTTGAAGCAAGACGGCTCAACTTCTCGTTAATATCTTCGAGGTGATCCTCTAGGTCTTGTGTCGTGCTGTGAATCATGTCCTTGTACTCCCCAAGCAGCTGAATGGTGACCGTAGCAGAGCGACTGCCTCGTATCATTAGCACGCACAATACACGAGATATCTCGACGAGTGACTGACAGATTCGCATCACCTAGGGCGATAGCTATGGTTGATTTATAGCCCGCTAGCATACTGGTGAAGCCGTGTATATCGCTCTCCATATACCTCACTTTTACCCAGCCTCGGAAGCTAGTTCTCGGCCGCCCAGAATACTTGGTGCACTCAGTCATCAGCGTATCGAAATCAGCACAAGCTCGGCGACATTGAAGGAGAGGTGTCTTGAGCGACGCTAAATTCGCATCATCCTCGATCTGGATGTGAGTGTCCAGGGACTGGAGAACCTCTTTCAGGGCCGAAAGTTCATCCAAGAGTTGCTGAACCGATCGCTGGTGACTTCGAAAGCTTTGAATTGTATCATACAGTATTTGGCTTGTCTGTATCGTCGCCGTGACTATGGCAATTAGCGCCGAGGCAATGCCTAGGGCTTCAGCCATCGTAGGTGGTCAGGGGTGATGCTGTTGTGTCAAATGGCAAGGAGACGGATTGCATGAGTACCTTCGGCATTAGTCAGGGACTCCGCGCAGCTGCTGGCTTCTTCTACCTTACTGCCCACTGCATATCGAGCATAAAAGTGGATCCGTCCTCCCTCTGAACTCACGTCCTTACTGTAGTGTACTTCCCCTTGCGATTGCTCACCAAACGCATACAATGCGGTGGAAAACAGAAAAGGTTGTATGCTGGTCTCTGTCTCCATGCCGTTGGAAGAAATTGATAGTCTATCGTCTCAGATAGCCAGAATTTCATGGCGACGAAGGAGACCAAGTGGACAAGGAATCGCAGGTGCGTCCTCGGCCGAATCACTATCGAACACAGTCAGCTCCTCTCAGTGGTACCTTGTAATCACGGCCCAAATTTCCTTGACACCTTCCACGCCAACTCTTGGGTCGTTCAAACTCGCGAAATCATGATAAGGTAGAGTCGTGCACAAACCTCAATCAAGAGTCTGCGCTGGCATTAATTCATGGCATATTATTCTCCTCATGATTATTTTGTCATGACGTAGCAGTGCTTTCGCTTCGACGTGTCTGTCCCGTTGAGGACCTCAATGATCACAAGGAGAGGAGGTGTATTCTCAGATAATCTCGCATGTTCCAGGTAGGGTACAGGTCGTGTTCTTAACTCCTAGATCCCTGTCTGAATATGAGATGAGATAAACTTTCGACTCCGGCTGCATCTACGGGAACGGCTTAGTTGTGACAGTCTTGCCGTACGTCTTCATTTGCTCTATCAGGCGCCTGTTATCGCCACAATGCCGAACATCCTGAGAGCCATCAATGAACGGCGCAATTGTACCGTTGGGCAGAATCGGCTGCTGCTCTATCGTTCCATCCGCTGCGCAAAGAATGCTCTACATGAAGCACGTTAGCTCAGAGAAGCTACATGGCGACTCAGTGTTAGGGCCATAGGTACCTTGCGCATATAGTCGAGGCAATGCGGCCAGTGATCGTGGTCGTTCCAGTCTAGTCCCGGGTCGAACCCCCGATGGGCCTCTTGCAGGACGTTTCGAAATATGGAGAGGCAATGGAGTTGGTGAAACCTGTATGAGTAATCAGTCAGCACCGTGTTGTAGTGCGTTCTTTGTTGAAGGGAAGGGTGTGCTTACATGGCGATGGTGGCGCTCATACCCGTGTTCCCTTGGGCGGGATCCGTGAGGTTGAATATGATGGAGCCGGAATCTCCTTCAACGTCTTCCCAGAGGCTGTCGTACTTGGGATCCAGCGACATGTGAGCCCAACTCCGACCAAAGACTGCCTCAATTTGAAAAGGACTGGATTGTGCCTTGTGATGGAGGACACCGTCGGGTGAAGCGAGAGCGAATGCCACAGCTGCCAGTATGAGTGACGTGGTACAGGCGCAGTATACCAGTAGAAGAGTGGTCAGAGAAGCTAGACTGTAGGGTCTTGCTGATATGTCTGGATACACGGTTTCTTCTTCAGAGGTTTCGTCGTCTGCTTTTTTACTCTGGAGCTGAGAGTACTTGGACTTTGGGCCCATCATCTCCGAGTTGGATAGTGGTGGGATGATGACGGGGTTATAATTAAGACTGAGGGAGTGAGTATTAAGGGACAATACAGCGGGGATGTCCACTACAAATACAAGTCGCCCATTGAATTTGCCTTCCCTGCCCCGCTATGCAGAGAGAGGGGGAAGACAGACAAACACGTCAAGACCATGCTACACAGATTGCAGACGTTTGACAAAGATAGTAATCACAAAGGAAGCTAGCGATTACAGTTGGCAAATTAATGGCGGGAAGTTATCATCAAATTACAGATTAGGGTTCCTAAGTAGTTTTACGAGCAAGATTTCTTACTAAGTAACTAAACAGGCACCTCACTGCATTCGTGTCTACAACGAGGAGCTTTACACGACGTTTTCTCTATCAAGCACTCGCAGCCCATCCCCTTCGCACTTGTGGTATCCCACTTCCAGGTGAATATTCACCGTCCCCCAGTCGTGCGCAAACGGATCCGCCAGCCACGCCTGGCAATGCACGCTGTGGTGCGCGTCCCGATCCCGGTTGGTGATGCCGCCCGTGGCCCGGAAGAAGCGCCGCAAATAAAAGGCGCAGTGCCAGTAATGCTGGCCCCAGGTCGAATATAGGCCGTCGCCCTCCCCAAGAAGAACCTGATCCAGCAAGACCTCTTCAAGAGACGAACTTTTCGCTGCTTCTGTTACCTCGCTGTTGTTGTTGTTGTTGTGATAGTACTTCCAGCCCTCCTCGCCATGGAGCTTGATGAAGTCGTCGTGTAAGTCGGCGTCAAAGCAATTGTGCGGCACCCAGCTGTATGACCAGAGCTGGAAATGGCAGCCCCTGGCCCGGGCTTCGTCTGGGTTCACGCCGCAGCTTGTAGTAACAGGAGCAGCTGGTGCAATGGCATTCGTGACCGCTGATGTCCGGTTGATGATCAGAGGCACCGCCCACAGGATAGATGAGGCGATCACGCCAATGAGGAAAGGACCGAGGAACCTTTTCACGGATTCGCGCCTTGCGTGTTTCCGTTTGTTACCAGTGTATGATGATTCAGCGAGGAAAGGCTCGTCCTCATCGTATTCAGCTTGAGGAACCGTCGTCATATCGATTTTACGCCTTGTAAGGTGTCAGATCAATCAGGAAGCATCCCAGGTAATCAAATGCAGAACTCACGAGAAACTGAGTGAATTGGTTCTCTTCAGTTGTGAGGTTCCTGCTCTGTGAGATCTGGTTCACGATGGTGCCAATACAACAGCCGCTACGAAACGACTCTTACTCTCTGTTCTGTCCCCTCCTCATCTTCTTCTCGTCCTGCTCATCCCCCTCATCCTCGCACAAGACTTGAGCCAACCCGCGTCTTCGATACTTTCTCACTATTTCCGTCTACAACAATATCACGATAACAGAAGTCCCTCAGTGCGACAGCGGTGCTTTGCCTCTCGAGCTAATGCATGCAGTCAATGCTTGATTGCACCAACATGGTGGGTCGGAGTTCCGTCTTCAAGGTTGTTGTCTTTGCAATCACCACAGATACATCAACCCAATCAGATGGTAGCAGATAGCCTAGTCTGCTGAAGAGAAACACTTATCGAGCATCTTTGGTGCCGAGTTTACCGATGCGAGGTGATGAATCTTGCAAAAGTTCTGTATCGTGCAGTTGTTTTAGACTTTCCCTCGAAACTACCAACCGGTTCTAGCCTCCGAGAGACAAGCATCAGCATCCTCCAAACACAACGTTTCCGCTCGTATCCATCTCGTCAATCCCCTCAGCCTGCAGCGCCCTCCACAGCAGAAGCATGGTACAGTGCTTGGAGTGATCAAAGTCCGCCGTCAGCTTATCCACCCTGCCACCATCGGCAAATGCGCGCGCCTTTCGAACCAGCATCCACGCGCAGTGCGTCAAGTGTTCCCGCTCCGTGCCCCACCATTTCTCGCTCCTCCCGAGAGATGCGAGGTCTTCCATGCTGAGCTCCTCCTCTCCGGCCTGGTCCCGCCAGTATCTCCAACGAGATTGGTTGTGCGTTGCGCCCGCCGCCGCTTCGAATTCGGCTAGGCCGTAGCGGGGGCAGGCGGTGGGCAGCCAGGCTTTGGCGAGAGCGTCAAAGGCGCATCCTGCTTGCTGGGCTTCGGCGACGCTGCTGCCGCAGCTCAGTTTCTGCTTTGGTGCTGTTGACTGTAGAAGACGTAGATGCAGGGATAGTAGAATTAGTAGTAGAGTTCCGAGGACAGTGACTGTTGCGAGTAGCGAGACGAATACAAGCCGGCTTGGCTGTCTGGTGGTGGAGTCTTTGGCAGTTGCAGATGGGTTGGTTGCAGTCTCATCATTGAGCGGCTGATACTTGCAAGTAGGCGACGGAAGTTTCAATGCTTGGGGAGCCATGTAGTTGAGACTTGAACGATGGTTGCAGTTTGTGGTATCATGGTATGCGGGTAGTATGTGGACTTGTCCTATTGATATAGAGGCGGCAAAGTGGGCAGTGCCAACTCAAAGGCAGAACAAGACACAAGCGCGTCCTACTAGTGGCTTCTCTCAAGCTCCAGCTGGATTTGATCGACTTGAATTTATCTATGAAAGGATTCTAGAAAACTGTCTGAACTCAAGAGATTTGAAGAACATGTCACACACTCCATGGCGAATGTGCGCGAGGCGTTGAAATCGAAGGGAATCCTCGCTTCTTACTCCATATCAGTGTTCAACGCCACCCCAGCCACAGTGCCATACCCTGGGTCCAAGAAGATCTTTCCGCAATGCTTGATATGCTTCTCGTTGTCCGACCGCGGCTCAACCATCTTGCCATTGAAGCGCGCCCTGTGCTCCTTTCTCCAATAGAAAATACAATGCAGGACATGCCAATGACCAGACATATGAAACCGCAGTTCCTCTTGGTTATCTGCCATCTTCGCAATCTCTTCAACGCTGATTTCTTGCGTATGCGCGGTATCAGCCCAGTACGTCCACTGCCCATCGTGGCCGGGCCCAGAGCGCTCAAACTCGGCCGTCAGCTCGTCATCCCGACAGTGCTCTGGAAGCCAAGCGGCAGCCAGGGAGTCGTATTTACAGCCCAAAGTGACTGCTTCTGCGGTGGAGTTTCCGCAATCGCAAGACGCGACTGCAGGTGCCGCGTGCAAGTTGTCCGGTGTTGCGGTTCCCTCCGAGTGGAAGTGAGAGGGGATGTTTGTTGGAGACTGGAGGAGGCTAACCAAGCCCAAGATTGCGAAGGCAATCAAGATCAAGTCCTTCAAGGTTGAAATTGACGGCCTGAATAGTAGGCGATATCGTGAAGCTTTGTGGCTTCGAAACCCCGTAGTCGAAGAAACTGAGTCGTCGTTGCAGTTTTCGGCCATGAGAGACTGCTCTTCGTCGGGTGTATTTTGCCTAGATGATTGTATTAGCCCTTGATTCTCTTCAAAGAAGCATCCTAGACTCACCATTTCTCTTTGGACGCCATTTTCAGCGTGGTCAGTGTAAATTTCAAAGCCAATGACAGAAGATCTATGGTGGAGGAAGATGTTGAAATGAGAGGTCGCGACCTTCGGGGGGCTTGTCTAAGCCCTTGAGAAGGGGGACTGGTCTACATCTGGCTCAAACACGCTGATGGTCTTTCGGGCCTATCATAGTTGCTTACCAGTTTGGTCCAAATACCCCTCCATGATCTGCATGGTGACTTGGCAAACATACCGGGGTCGGTCGCGGGCCCAGAGGAAGGATCACTGATGCTATGCGAGCTGTCACCTAGTTGGATCGACATGCATGGAGCTGATAACTTAGTCGTATGGACTCGAAAAGGCTTTCGAGTGCCGTGTGATATGCATAATATGTCTAGGAATAGAGAGATGGTGCGAACCAGGAAGTCCCCATGCCGAGGCTGCGTATCTAAGCCATCAGCCATTCTTCTTCTAGGGGCTCCTTCGGTTCGCTCTTCGAATAGAATCTTCTATTCCAACCGTCTCCCTTCTTTTCAAACTCAATGGCACCGAAACACAGTTACAGACAAGTTTCTCAGACATCTGATGTCAAAGCTTCCATCGAGGAGGAGCTCGACGAGAGCGACAATGGCCCCGAATCTGGACGCAAACCGGAGCTCCTCTCCCCCATATTCCTCATGATATTGCTGAACGGTTTGAGCCTCGTCTTTGGCATCGGGATAGGTGCTTCGATTATCGCAATCACCACATGTCGCCCAACACCGCAACAATCCAACAACGCCAAACCAGTCGCCGGAACCGTCGCCATAATTGACGGCATAGAGGCGCCAGGCACGCAGTGCGGCGATTCCTGGCAAGAGGCCAGGGATCTTGGCTGCCACTTTGATGTCATGGCATCACGCTGGTACGCCCCCGAATGCTTCGACCAGACAGCTCTCGAAGGCATGCTCGGTGAGCAGCCGTACGTCAACTTCACCTGGTACGAGGACAAGGAGCATACAAGAGTCTACCCCTCCGAGCTCGTCTTGCGGGGCGAGTTTGATAAGGTATATCCCAGCGGAGACTATCACATCTATCACTGTCTCTACTTGTGGCGGAGACTTCATCACGCCGTGGTCAAGAATAAGCCTGTCGATGAGGATTTGCTCGAGTACGGCCACACGCTGCACTGCACTCGCATGATTATGCAGTGGATGGATCCAAGCATACCCAGGACAACAATTTCCTCTGCCACAAGCGGGACGCCGTTTTGCAGGAGTAGCCGGTTGGGTCTGATGGTTTAGTGAGCGGACTGAATAGTTAGTGCACGGGAAAGGATTGTTGATTCGTTGGTGGACTTGGCACTGCTTGGGACCCTCACCTCAGAAGCTCAATCCCAAATATTACCGCTTTCAGATGTGCCCCTCTTGAATGGCGCCTTCTATTGGTTGCCGACTCTCTCCATTTCTTCAGCAATAACACCGCACAGACCAGGTGAACTCGACTGAAATCGACGATTGCTTCGAGGTTCTGGCTGGCGGCATCTTCAAGTTTGGCTGAAACCAGATAACCAGAACTAGCGGTCTTTCATTCAGATGGTTCCTTCTCGGCGACTCTTGAGTCGGGTATCCGGCAACTTCTTGAGATCCCCGGCGGTTGACCAGCACATCAGATGGTGGCCAACATGACGTGACTAACTAAAGTCCCAAACAGACAGCGGTGTGGGTGTAAGCTGCATATATCATTGTCCCTCTCGAGGGAAATATGGCCAGATGAGCACTAGTGTTGAATCATCATATTCATGCAAACTTCAGAGTTGATAGGCAAATATAGTTGATCCCAAATGCGGAACGGTGGGTGCCAATGTGCATGATCCTGAACGACAGATTCCAGGAAGTAGCTAACCTTGACTGGTATTTGCTCCACGAGCGACAATATGTTGATTCGGGGCCGCCTCATACTCCGCCAATGTGTCTAGTCATCGAGCCATGTTCGGTTCAGTACAGGGTATCATTCACTCCTAGACCACGAGCAAAATATTTACGCACGATCTGCGGCCTCACCGTCCGAACACTTCTTTTGGTGTTATATACGCAGGTCCCAGTTCTCCAGTCTCGTAGATCATACAACACTGTCAAGGCATCCTTCTCAATCACAATCTTCGCTCTACCAAATCCAAATATCATTACTACTACAACAACAACTTCACATACTTTGTGGACAGACAATCTCTACACCATGAAATTGACGCTCGCCCTCACTGCCCTGCTTGCCACAGCCGCCATGGCCGGAGTGGCAAAGCTACGCCACGAGGACGAGAATCTCGAAGACAGCTACAGACGTCGCTCCGTCAAAGCTGGAATCGTTCCTGTCAAAGAAGAGGACATAATCTCTCTTGGCGACAGAGCCGTTAAGGCCGGCATCGTGCCAGTCAAAGAGGAAGATATCATTTCGCTGGGAGACCGATCAGTCAAGGCTGGCATCGTGCCAGTGAAGGAAGAAGACATTATTTCTCTGGGAGATCGCGCTGTTAAGGCTGGCATTGTTCCGGTCAAGGAGGAGGACATCATCTCGCTCGGAGATTAGGCAGCCATAGTCAATGGTTGAGACTACTCGAGAATATGGAGGCAAGGGAGATCTGTTGATGTTCTATCAAGCTTCAATCAACTAGCATGCGTTACAACGACATGGCTTTTGCTCAATACATGACTGCTCAAGGAAACAAGAACCTTCCACCTCCAGTCTTTCCTACAGCACCGTGATCTCTCAGAACCTGCATCGCTTCCTCGTGACCTCCAACCGCAGCGCTCTGCAGCGCAGTCTGCCCTCTTCGTCCCTTGAAGCTACAAGCATTCACATCAGCACCGGCCGCCAACAAGCGCTCTATCACATCCACTCGACCTGTCTCGGCTGCCGCGTGCAAAGCCATTCCATCCCCGTAAATACCTCCCACGGCGTGGACATCAGCACCTTCCCGAAGAAGAAGGTCGGCGACCTCGAGATGGCCTCGCAGACATGCGCCCTGAAGAGCCGTGTAGCCCTTGTACTTTGCCGAGGCCCCATTGATGTCAGCCCCGTGTTGGAGAAGAAGCTTCACTATCGCCGAGTAGCCGCCCCCCGCTGCGGCTTGTAGTGCCGTGTACCCCGCCGTCGGCGATGGCGGGGCATTGACGTCGGCGCCCAGTTGCAGCAGTCGGCTGACGAGATGCTCGTGTCCTCGTTCTGCTGCTGCCTGGAGTGCCGTTCTTCCGTTATACCGCGTCACGACAACCGACGACGACGACGGTGTTGTTGGTGACCTGTATCCCGAAGGATGCGGCACAGGCTTCAATGACACCTCGTCGACTCTGGCCCCTGCGCTAAGGAGGATATCAAAGACCTCCTCGTTGCCGTGCCCGCAGGCGATCTGCAAGGCGTTCCTTTGGAAGTTGTTGCCCCCGCAAAAGTGGATATCGGCACCGGCGTCGACCAGCATCTGCACGGCCTGTTCGTGGCCGTGCATGCATGCAGCCTGGATGGCCGTCTGTCCGTAGTATCCGTGCGGGGCCTCGTTGACGGCGGCCGGGTCGGCGGCAAGGATGGCGCGGATTTGGTTCAGGTCTCCGCTTCTGGCGGCGAGCTGTAGCGGCGTCCAGCAGTACTCCTCTCCATCGTCGGTCTGCAGGGTCGGGTCCCACGCCGCGTCTAGAGGCGGCAGGAATTTGTGCATGATTGTTGTGCTCCGAATGAGGTGAGCCAAGGCTCGGAAAGGCAGGTGGTATTCGTGGGATCGCGAGGGTCAGGAGGGGACCATCCAGCGTCGGGAGCTATCAAGAGACGGAACTTCAGCTGTGATACTGATAAGATGGGAACAGTTCAGGCCAAAGTAAGCCCGTCAAATTTATGCTTGAAGTCGCATGCTACTCAGTTGTGTTGTTGGCGAGTGGAACGGCTGCATGTTGGTTGGCCAAGACGGGCGTTCGATCCTCTTACATGCGCTAGCTTACCGGATCCTGTTGCTTATCGATCGGGATTCGGCACACGTCTATCATGAAGATGCGGGGGTTAATAACGACATGGGTCAGGGCGAGGTGAACGGTTAGATGAATATCACTCTCTCTTGATGCCATCTCTGTATCGAGGACGGTACGGACGACAGTCTTACAGAGAGTACTTCACAGCTCTCACCACAACTGTCTTGCAAAATTCAAGCTACTGTCCTCGTTGATCTCTTGAACCAGCTTCCTCGCCTCATCCTAATCACACAGCTATGCCTGACAAGTGGGAGAAGCCTTTTCGCGATGAATCCGACTTGTCGTCTGAGGATCTCAGCCTAACCGACGAGACTCTCAAAGTACGGCGCGCTGGCCCCAAACGCCAAGTCTGGAGGTTGTTGGGAGAAGTTGCTCTTGCATTTGGAACCATCGTACTAGGCGGAATTGTCATTCATGACAGAGTTCTTCCAAGGACCGGATTATTGCCCTACGGGCCAGTGAGTGTGTAACCCCGCCGGCCTGGCCTCTTTTCATGAACATCGCTAACAATCACTGCCATCACCATCAGTCCCACAGAAAGTTGTCACTTTCGGCAATACGGCAGGCTTTGGGCCTGATCTGGTGTACGCGGATCGACAGATGCTGCTGAATGCCACAAGGATGCAAGAAGTACATGAAAATTGGCAGCAACTATATCCAAGTAAGTCATCTAGTCTAACCATGGGATATCGCTGACTTCCCCATCACAGTCAGTCGCGGCTACTTTGTGGCAGACAAAAACAGCGCAGAATACAAAGTCCAGTTCCCACCAGCAGACATCAGCGGTGTGTTATCCCCAGATGACAAGCGCAGCGGCTGGGTTCTTTCCGTGTTTCATCAGATTCACTGCCTGGTAAGCATCTGACAGCCACAATCCAGTGCTCTAACCCTCGCTGCCCAGAACACAAAAGAGCTGACACCAACCCAAAGTCAATCATAACCACAAGGCTCGGCATCTCTCGAAAAGAGTTTGCAGACTGGGATCCCTTCAAGCTGGGCCACACAGCACATTGCATCGAGTATCTGCGACAGAGCATCCTGTGCTCGGGCGATACCAGTCTTGAGGGCGAGTCGGGATCGTGGTCGGAGAGTATTGGCTGGGGCCAGAGCCACGTATGTAGAGACTACGACGCGCTCATGCGCCTGGCGAACGAGAAGGCGGCCTGGGACCTCAGTCACGAGCGCGAGCCGGACCACTCCAAGCTCTTTGAGTCTACCATGGAAGACTGTGATTCAGACAATGGAGAGTACTGTCATTGACAGATTCAATCACGATGCCATCAACTATGAAGAAATGAGGAAATTTTGCCTTCCCTATATATCCATGAGCATGAATATAAATCACATTGCGCAGCTAGTGGTATCAGCATGGTAGATTGCTATCTGCCGGTGAAGATTGTGCGTATCACTAAGCCACATCTAGATCCTGGCACCTGCCTACATCACACAGTCTATGGCCAGCTTCACTTGAGCTCAACTGCAGTGAAGGTCATTAGATGCTACCACTTTGAGTCGAATAGCCAGCCAATCAAGTATACTAAGGGGTTCAAAGATCCATCAATACTCCCGAGTATTATGATCGATCCAAAAAATGTGACAGGCTGAACCTTTCTGGCCCAGATTCTTATCATGTTAGTACAATCAAGCTACAAGTACGTTATAGTACCCTATGGGACAGTGCCGAAAGCGCTGTCGACGTCCCGTACAATCATTCCCTCGGGTAGTGTTGAGCCCCTTTAGCAGCCTTCTATGATGCTGTCGAGAGAAAAGAGCATTCATGCTACCTAAGATATACCGACTAAAATGGACTTCACCGCCATATACTCGCTAAGCCCAACCGCACCACCTTCTCGCCCATACCCGCTTTCTTTCACACCTCCAAAGGGACTTTCGCAGGCACTCAGACTGCCAACGTTAATGCCGACCATACCGGTATCCAGCGCTTCTGCGACGCGCCAGCTGCGAGAGATACTCTCAGTCATAACAAAGCTTCCGAGGCCAACATTTGAGTTGTTCGCCAGTGTAATCGCTTCGCTTTCATCCTCAAACTCATACAGTCCTAGCACGGGCGCGAACACTTCCTCCCGAGTCGTGATCATTTCCTGCTTCATGTTGGTGATCAACGTAGGTTGCACAAAATTACCGCCCAGCTCAGGCATTAAAGAACCTCCTAGAATAACTTCGCCGCCGAGACGTTTTGCATCTGTCACTTGGTTAATACATGACGATACGTTCAGAAATAAATTGGCACAGACCTTCTATGTGCGACAAGGCCTTCCGAAGCCCGCCTTGATGCGTTAATGGCCCAACATTGACGCCTGCTTGAATGCCGGGGCCGACTTTGAGTTGTTGCATCCTCTCTTTCACCTTCAGTGAGAACTTATCATAGATGCCCTTCTGAACGAATACCCGGTTGGCTGTCACACACGTCTGTCCAGAGTTGCGAAATTTCGCGAGCATCAGGATCTCCGCCGCGCGATCAAGGTCTGCGTCATCGAATACGATGAATGGGCTATTGCCACCCAGTTCGAGAGAGAGCTTCTTTAACGTCTGGCCACACTGCTCAGCAAGTAGCTTCCCAACGCGGGTGCTCCCTGTGAAACTGATCTTCTGGACTTTTTGGCTTTTGCAGAATGCCTCCCCGACCTCAGCAACCTTGTCCAAGGTCAGAACCACATTGATGGAACCCTGGGGAAATCCAGCATCCTGGGCCAACACGGCTTGGGCAATACAGCTCAGTGGTGTCTCGCCTGCAGGTTTCCAGACAGTCGTACATCCGGCAGCCAGAGCCGCCCCAGCTTTGCGAGTAATCATGGCTATGGGAAAGTTCCACGGTGCAAGCAGGGCAGCGACACCTAGGGGCTGCTGGATGGTCATGATGCGTTGACCGGTATTGGCGGCGGGGATAACTTGGCCGTACGTCCGCTCTGCCTCGCCGGCAAACCACTCAAGAAATGAAGCCCCGTACACCACCTCCGCTCTAGCCTCAGCAAGAGTCTTGCCGTTTTCCAGCGTCAAAATCAAGGCTAAGTCATCGATGTGCTCGAGGCATAATTGATTCCACCTCCGCAGCCACCGTGCTCTCTCTCTGGCGGAAGTCTGCTTGAAAGACCCAAAACATTCGTGCGCTGATTGGATAGCCTTCTGAGTGTCCTTCGCACCCATCTCGGGCAGTGTTGTCAGAGGCTCCAACGTTGCCGGGTTGATGACATCGAATGTTTTCCCATCGATCGCCGATACCCATTGTCCATTCACGAAGCCCTTGTTCTGGAGAAGATCCCTGCGAGACACATCAGACAGGTTTTTGAAACCCATCTTGGGGGCTCTTCTGGTGGTCACACTGCTAAACCACAGATATTTTCTCGTAAGAGAAAACGGAATGCGTTGGCGGAGAGAATCTGACAAGCGGATCGAGCGTGAAAGCTGGGAGTTGAGAATCATGGGATTAGTTTGGATGTTCAGTGAGATGATGAATCAGTGAGGAAATAAGGGACTGCCTCCTCCGATGATGGGTAATTCCAAAGGTCGTATGATATCTCAATGAAGGCTTGAGAGATGTGGGCCACTAGATTTCGTGACTACGCTGTTTACGTTGCCTGATTCTTCTCCACATCATGTTAACTACCCCAAGAGCCGAGGGGTAGAAAAGGGTGAAGACAGAATGGGGGGACAGCGTATCGGAAAACCTTATCCTAAACCAAAGATAACGTAGATCTTCACGTAATGCTAAGCAGACTCTATCAAGAGGAATCTTCTCTATCATAGAGATATCGGTTGCATCAACACCAGGAAAGGGGCTACTTGAATACGTTAGCAATTCAAAGATCAGGTGCGGTGTTACGCTATTCACAAAACGCTCATAGCATCTGCTACTGATGCCTCAGTAGCGTGGGACAAAATAACAGACGCAGGTAATAATGACGTTGTCTGGCATGGTGTGTCAGTATCGCTCAAATCAAGGAGACTGTGGTTCATCATCGCCCATTGTCACCAATGTTCCAGGAAGATTTCAAGTCTAAAGCTTCAATCAATAATCCCTATCTTCTCAACGTTTCCGCAGTGCTCTAAACATTCACTGCCTATCAGAAGTTTGGTTTGCGCCTTGCCCCAAGCAGGCTTTCCACACCACGTCCTAGTTCCAACAACTTCTGCTCCTGAAATTCCAATCCAAGAATTTCTAATCCCACTGGGAGCCCCTCATCAGTAAACCCAACCGGTATGCTCATAGCGGGTAATCGGGTAGTACTTGACAGGAGAGTATTCGTGGGATACCCAGTCTTTCGGAACCTGTCTGAGGTTGCCTCTGCAATAGCAGGGGGCGGGATTTTGACATCCGGAAAAACCAGTGCGTCCAGTTGATGCGCCGCTATGAGGCAGGCAGTCTTCCTCTTGAGACCTTCTCGCCTCGCAAGACGATCCAAGTACGTGGGGTCTTCCTTCGGATCTTTGGGGCCATGCGCTAAACCGCAGAGGATGTCGTGGAATGGCTTATCTTCTGGCACAATTCTGGGCACCATATCCGCAATGTCCTGTGGAAGGTGTGGCTTGGTCGCGAGAAAACTGTTGATGTCATGGCGGGATTGTTGGAAATAGATCTGCCCATACGTCAAGTCGTCATTCAAAGACTCAATGTTGACGTCAATGCATTCCGTCCCAGTACTGCGGATCTTGTCCAAGGCTGAGTTGACAACTTTGTTGACTGCATGGCAGTGTTCATCCGAGTCTGGACCGAAGAGTTCGCGGAGCACACCGATTCTAGCAGCTGCCAGCTTCTTGTCTCCCTCTCCTAGTCCAGATGCGTAGCTACCACCTCTGGGAATTCCGAGCGCGGAGATGCTGGCAGCCAGGCCTGTCGCATCATCCTGGGGATCGAAACCAACCATACAGTCGAGCATCAAAGCGCAATCCATGACATTTCTTGCCAATGGTCCCGGGGTGTCTTGGGATTTGATCAACGGACAAAAGCCCGCCCGGGAAACCAGCCCAGGAGTGACACGAATACCTACGACATTGCAGTAAGATGCAGGTAGTCGGATTGAGCCACCGGTATCTTCGGCAAGTGCCACTACGGCAAAGTTTGACGCAATAGCCGCTGCAGAACCACCAGATGAAGCACCAACATCGTGGCCGGATTTGTAGGGATTCTGGGTGAACTGATAACCGTTTGCACCGTTGGTGCTGAACCAGCATGCAGCCCACTCCGACATGCTTGTTTTACCAAGAACAATGGCTCCAGCCTCTTTCAGCTTGTGTACAACTGTGGCGTCTTTGTCCGGGATGTTGTTTGACGTCGCTCCAGAGCCGTACTGAGTTCGCAGTCCCTTTGTGTCTGCTTGATCTTTGACCAAGATTGGAATGCCATGTAGTTTGCCCTTGAATTGCCCTGTCTCACGGAAGAACTTATCCAAAGCTTCCGCTTCAGCTATGGCAGAGTCTGAGAGGGCCATAACTGAGTTGATTCGAGGTCCATGTCGATCGAAAGCCTTAATTCGATCAAAGTATGCTGCAGTCAGACCGGCTGCAGTCAGGCGTCCATTTCTGTATCCTTCCTGAACCAATGGGATCGTGAGTTCGTGAATCTCCATTTTCGAAATACTTCAACAAGTTTGAATCTTTCCCACAAATGTTAGTTCTTGTTCCACAGTAGTGGATTGTTGACTCACCAAAATTTAGAAGCTACGTACTCCTAACCGAAAGGTGAAGTCAGATGGTGACGTCGTAGTCTGAAAAGAGAGCCAATATAGATATACCAGGGCTGGGGTGGTTCCTTCTGGGGTTTAGACCGAGTGTTCAACGGTCAGACCTCGAAATTTGTATGATTGTTGATGATATGGAGAACATACGCCGAGATAAAGCATGACACTTTTGCTAGACTCATGGTTGTTGCACTACTTGCTTTTGTTGATACTACGAGGGCCAGCGATAACGCTAAACCCAATACGGTATTAATACCCCAACCTCTTGCCTCCTATCAATCCCTTCCGTAGACTGTTACAAGATCACCAGTAATGAGCAAGAGAGGCATATAGCAATTCCGAGGGTAAATAGCGATGAGATAGCGAAGATAGTCGAATCTACCTCGAAGGGAATGATTTAAAGCTAACGCATATACCGTGGAAGAGACTAATGTTGCCCACCGAAAGCAACGCTCATTCAACTGACAAGCGAAGATGAACCAAATTCCGACGAGATCGAAAGCGAATATGTTTGGGCCTTACAGTCTAGGTGCTTTTGGTATCATTCTCACGAGGTACGGCTTGTTCCTTCCAGAAACGAGGCCGATTTTGTTCATTTAACGTGTTCGGTAGTGCATGGTCCTTTGCTGCTCAGGGATTGCGTACCGGCATCTTTGCTGGTGGAATTCCTGTCCTGATTTATGGGTCCCTCGGAATGGGCTTGTGTCTCGGTCTTTTTCTCACTTCACTCGCTGAATTCGCATCAGCGTACCCATCAAGTGCAGGGTGCACGTACCTAGCCAGCCAGCTTGGCGGTCCACGATGGGGGAAGTTTTGCGTATGTTTTCGTCGGTGGCTCTAGTGACTTCATTTTGCGAGCTTGATAGCAAAACTAATGTCCTTGCAGGGATTTACTACGGGCGGTTTGCATGCATTTGGTTCTCTTCTTGCACCGGCGGCTGTGGTCGTAGCCCTGAGCCAGATAATTGCCACCATAGGCGCAATTACAAATGATGGTTGGATTCCTACAGGCTGGCAGCTTTGCCTCATATACCAAGGCCTTAATCTAGGCGTCGGCTTTTGCTGCCTCCGTAACAAACGAGGGTTCACCATGATCATGAACCTTAGTGGTAAGCTCAAGAAAAGAATCAAACTTTGGCAGACACGTGGCGCCTGACAGTTCCAAGCAATACTGCTTTGTGTTACTCTCTTCGTTGTCATTGGACTTCTTGTTGGACTCCCGAAATACACTGCTTCCAGCGAGTATGTATGGTCTCCCCCCAGAAACCGGCATCCTGGACTAATGAGGCACCAGGTCGGTCTGGAAGACATTTGAGAATCAAACTGGGTGGAGCAAAGAAATAGCTGTATTGATCGGAATTGGTGGTCCACTTTACGGTATTGGCCCGACCCATTGGCTCTTAAATGCAGCAGACGAGGTCGAGAATCCGCGGCGTTCTATTCCAATCGCCCTCGCCATTCAGCACATTGGGAATATCTTCACGTAAGGCTTTTGAGCTAAGTTCCAAGCATCCGTACTAATTGGGCCTGCAGGTTGTTCTCCTTCTACATTGCTGTAGGATATGGCGTGAGCGACTGGGCAGCGATTGTTTCTTCTACCTATCCCTCACCTATTGGAGCCGTGTTCCAGCAGGCGGTTACCTCAAAGACGGTCACTATTGGGCTCCTGGTAGTGATGGCAGTGCTATCGGAAATGAGCATGGTCTCGTACGTGGCTGCATCCGCTAACCTTATTCATGGTTTTGCGTTGACGAAAGCTGGTCAGTCGTCGAATCTGAATATGTGTTTTAAGACAACTGACGTTGTGTAGTTCCAGGTTCACACTGGGCCGGCAAGATTGATTCAAAGCTCCAAATTCCGTTGAATTGCTTGTATCTCATCTTTTGCTTCAATGCGGTGCTGGGCCTTATTTACCTAGGCAGTACTTCCGCCCTGCTTATCATCCTTGGATGTTGCAATCTCTCCTTTGTTTTGGGTTACATTCCTATCTTTATTGGTTATCTCTTTACATGTGGCCGGCATCTTGGACAGGGTGGATATTTTCGCCTCCCTCGCTGGGTAAGTTTGGCATTGGCAGCATTCAACCTCTGTTTCCTTTCACTTGAGTGCGTGATATTCAGCCTCCCCCCCTCGAGCCCGGTGAACACGCAAAACATGAACTGGGCTTCGCTGCTGAGTGTAATCGCGTTAATGCTCTTGATGGTTTCGTGGCTGCTGTATGGGAAGATTCATTATCAGTCCCATGATGAGCCTGTAATTGAGGGAAGGAACACCGAGATCAATGTTGAGGACAGGAATTCGTCTAGAAGGAAAATGGAAGATGCAAAAGCTGGATTTGGAAAAAGATGACGAAACAGCCATAGGAGACTTTGACGTGTACCACGCACTCATGACTCTGTCGACTTCGTTCAAGGATTCTGTAGCCTCATCATGATTTTCTTGTTGTTGTTCAATGGATATTCCGAATCACGAAAAATGCGCCCTAGTCCACACAGGTGGCAGATGGTTGTGAAAGGATGAAAGATGGGCCAAGATACCCGTTGGTTGTTTTAGATTGGTCTATCGACGTTCAAATTTCGAACCCCTGAATACCACATTCGACGACTCCATTGCTCCTGGAACTACCTTATTCATACTACCCCATTACGCTCAGGTTGCTTTGAAGGCAGTCTCATTGAACGATGCGGCTGTGAGTAAAGTATCGCATTCCGATGAAATTGTTTCAGCTTCGGTCAATCTACCTGCGCTTGGTGCTTTCCCGAGTGGGGGGTTTTCGAGAAACATTGATATATGCCTGCTCAGGTAGCTACCTTACAATAGGGCATAGGCGGGTATTTCCAGTCCATTTTGGGTGTGAAGTGAACGAGTGAGTGTTCAAGGCCGGCCTTTTATTTATTTATTTTTTTATTTATTTTTAGGAGACGTGGGCAAAGCAGGGAGAGGACAAAAGAGGACCTGAACTCTTACATGGGAAACGCGAATCCCGGATCGCCAATGCTTGCGCTCAACGAGAGGGGTTTCAAGGGCTCAGCCATGCTTCTCTCTCGACTACGAGGCCCAATTCAATTCAAAGGCTTGACGTGCCCTCCACGATCCACGGACTGTGGGGGCTGTGGAGGCAATATTGCAGGCCCACTTGGCGGTGGCGGGTAGCGTTGGGGTACAAATCCAAATTAGGCATTAGATTTGGTGTTTGTGCAGATATAGGCTGTCGGTCCGGTTATTTCACTTTCAGTCTATCATGTAACATTTATGACGATGAGGTAACGGACACACCATCCCTTTGATGCCGAAGAGGCATGAACTAGCGCTGTTTTGAAGACCAATGAACATTATCCAGAAAAGAGGGAAATCAGATATCACGAAATCCTGGCTCGGTTTCCTCCAAGTAAGCAGTTGAAAAACGGGGCAAAATGGCGGTGATTTACACTTCGCAGCATCAAAGGGATAATCTGAAGCGGCAAACAATCCGTGACAATGAGAGCAGGACACGTGCATCACAGGGCGTTTTCCACGAGCTACTACGCATGCCAAATGACTGTTGACCCAGCATCATAGCGCGGAGCAGGACATCAAACATGAGAATACGCCTAGAATTCATACTTTAAGTCTATCTTCTAGAATCTGAGCAACGAGTGAGAAGGTTGTCCCGATGGTTTCAACAATCTCGAATACTTGAACCCCTTGATATGCCTCAGCCCAGACTTGAACAATGATTACACGGAGACGATGAATTCGGAGAGCATCACTCTCCTTCGTGCCCAGAGAGCCAGCATAGTGGGTCTCTTCAATCAAGGAGGAGATTGTGTTTAGCAGATGCTTTTCATTCTCTCCGAGCGATTCGGGACCAAATTCCTCGGCGAAGCAGGACATATTCTCCAGCCACCTGGTGAGCATTAGAGCGCACGCGAAGCTGGCCAGAGCATGCTGAACGCTCCAATGACCAGTTTGTGTGCGAGCAACAAGAGGAATGCCAACTCTGACTGGGATCCTGAAAGCATCGATGCATTGCGAAATGGCTTGCTCAAGATGCGCAGGCTGAACCGGAACAGGATTCTCTTCGCTCACGAAAGCTCGTGCTAAGACTTGGGGGTCGCGACGCATCAGAGAACTTTCATCACCCAAGCCAACGCTCAGTCGAATGTGAGCTAGGCGTAACATGGCGGTCGAGTTGAATCCCAATGGACCGTACGGTGACGCTGGGTCCAATGTGGATTCTCGGGACTTATTCCAGTCTGCCTCCCAGGTCCGCAGAGCCTGAGCATATGGGTCAATCACGCCAGGCGGCAAACTCAATGCGGAATTGACCATACCCAACGCTGCTTGTCTCTCGAAGTAAAGATATTGCAATATGCCTTGGATCAGAACGTAGTTTGCAAATGAGGACGTCGAAACTTCCTTGTCAACCGGGTGGCCGGAAAATAACCGTTTGAGACAATGCTGGAAATCGTTTCTTTGGAGACCGCTTCGCTCCACCGCGTCTCGCCATGTACCACTCCCCGCAGCATTCCACTCAGCGGCTGAAGACGGCAATAACATGCGGATCTCCATGTTTGGAATAGCAGGCGGGATGTTGAAAGAAATTGTTTGAAGGTTTACCACGACATACGCAGCATACAACGTCCGTCGTCTACCTTCATCTTGCCACCAATCATGCCAAGCCGTAGCCAGCTTCATATCGATTTCCAAAGGTTGCGATTTATTCAACTCTTCGCGGACAAGTACGGACAGTTGACTTGCTGTGACAATCGCATCGCGTACTAGGGCACTGTCCACCCAAGACGTTAACTGTGTAAGGACGACGAGTGACTGTATGATCTCAAGACTTTTGCGCTTTGCGCTGGAAACCGGGTTCGCCGCGGCAAGATTCAAGACTGCACTCGTTTCCCGCGGCAGCCCTCCTGAAAGGTTCTCGTGTCTAGAATGATGTCCCATGAGATGGTGCATAGATTCTCGGCGGTGTTGTTCAAAATGTTCTTCTGTGATTGCTCTTGAAGCGAAATATAGCTCATATCCTTGGGGGCGCTCGAACCCGTAGAAAGCACCTACGGCACACAGGGCCATGAGAAGTACCGGGCTGATAGTATCAGATGAGGTCGTGGGCAAGTGCAGGAAAGGAAGATGTGGGTGAAATCCCCTAATGTAGCCGGCCAAATATCGAGAAAGATTCTGCCGTTTTGGCAAGTTGAAGTTCTCTGGTAGTATACGGGCTAATCGCACGATCTCACGCGATAGTCTCTCATAAGCTTCTGACGATACCGTCCAGGAAACGCCCGGCTGATGCAGCCCATGAGCATTCGACACTTCTGATCCTGTCTGTTCAGACGCTTGCTGAAGAGTCTGTCTCGTCGCCGTCATCGGTAATGGCGGTGGTGGGGTCAACGGTGCGTGTGGATCATTGCCTGCCACGAGCGGCGATATCTGCTGTCCGCTCCCGGGCTCCCTACAAGCGCTCTCAACATCCACGCCGTCTATTTCGTGGTTGGGGTTGTCATGAAGGAGATTGTCTGAGTTGGTGATTGGCCCTGGTTGGTGGTCCATCGAGGAGAACACATCACTCAGGTAGTGATCGGCCATTACATTTGGATCGCTCCATAAGAAACGAGCGTCGAAGTCATACCCGTTCAATCCATTGTTTACCTCTTGATCGGGCACGTTCGTCTCACCCCGTCGATGAACGGCTGGGCATGTCTCAAGTTCCGCGTCACTAGCAGCTTCCTCGAGGAAAACATCATCGCCGAAGGCGTGAAGTTGACTGCTGGCCGACCCGAAAGCTTCGTCATTGCCGTTACTACCCGTCAAGTCCGTACTCAGGTGAGTGTCGTCAACAGTCGTGAGTGACTGTGACATTTGGGAACCGGAGGGTGTTGTCTCGGGCCCAGTGCCATTGACCGATGCGGTGGCATCTGCAGAAGGGGAGGATGGATCGAACCGCTGCAGTGGTCGAGCTTGCTGTTTGGACTGATCAATGAACACAAAGCTTTTAGGTTGGTGTTCTTCTGATCAGACTTTAGTGTCCATTGAGCCAGATTGCAGTCCTTAGGACGTGGTGGGAGGGATACCATTTGCAACATAATCGTCATGCGATATACGCTGATGCCGAACAAGCAGGTCCCTAACCAATCAATGAGCATCCAAACGGGATGAAAGTGAAAAACCACAACAGAACTGCCCACTTCCTCGAGAAAACACGACTGCAGAAGCAGACGTAAGGGCGTTCTTGAGTGTCTGAAAGAGAGCAAAGGCAGTGGATAGAGGCATCCAACTACAGCGGAGCGGATGACTGGATCAACGTACGTGTTCGAAGGTGGCGCTGAAGGTGCTCCTGGCGTTTGAACTGTTTGCTGCAGAATCGGCAGGGCGCAATAGGAACTCTGGGTCGACCTTTCATTACAAAGATATGGGAGAGGGATTATTGGGGAAGCGGTTGTGAAGGAAGTTGAAATAAGTGCTGCCAACAGTCAAAGGAAATCGGAGCTGTCCGCGTCAATTTGGAAAACCATTGGTTTGATGAAGCATGACTGGAGCCCTGGCTAGGAGGGGTTAGGAGGGGTGGGGGGTTTCGGCTTCTCACGGCTACATGGTACGGGTAGCTGCACAGGAACTGCAGGGCTAATCCTTCCCCCACACCATAAGTACTATGTAGTAGCATAGTGTACTGCGGTCCATTTGCAAGACGATGCGAAGCTCAACACGTTACAATTTACTGGGATAGTTTCGCTGCGTCGAAGTTGAAAAGCGACAATCAATGACACACCTCCAACATCTCTTTCGTCTCGATCGTGTTTACGTCTACTCTGACTTCAAAATCTCAGCGGCTTCCCACGCTTTACCGAAGGATCTTGTTCGTAAGCTGGTCATCGTGGCTTTGGGTAACGCCATCCGCTGCCTTCACATCCGTCGTAATACTTGTTGTCGATTCAACGTATTTCTTGTTCACTAGTAAGGTCAGAACAGAATGATTGAACCAACAAGGTCTAGGGGCTGGGTTGGCCTACTGGGGGCTCGATGATACTGATCGATCCAAGTGATTTCTGTGTTCGTGGACAGAGCCACCTTTTGCACAAAATTGGGATCGCGCAAGAACTCGCGAGCAACATGAACCACATCTGCTTTGTCGTTTGATAAGATCTGAGACCGACTGTTAGGGAGAGGCCTATGAAAGTGCCGTTCGAGGTGCAGGGGCAGAACTCACATCGTGAACAGTCTCTCCGTCCCGGATCCAACCGACAGCGCCGACAAAGACATTCGGAAGCTTCAAATCCTTGATGGCCTTGGCAAATGGCACCTGATACTGCTGGCCGAGTTGTACCTGCTGCCTCCTGTCTGTGCCGCCACTAGAGACATCGAACAGGTCTACTCCTTCCTTCGCCAAAATTGGCACATAACGTAGGGTATCCTCCAGCTCCCATCCTTCTCCAGCAGGAAGCCAGTCTACGGCAGAAATTTTCCAAAACACTGGCGTACCCCCAGGAATATTGCGGCGAACAGCGCGGAGGACCTCAATACCGAATCTCGTGCGATTCTCGAAGCTCCCACCCCATTTGTCGGTTCGCTTGTTCGTCTGTTCCCAAATATCTCAGCTTCGTGCGTGTATATACTCATGCAGGTCTGTGGGATGAAGGGAAATCGTTGCAAGAGTAGATACTTACCGCGGATGAAGCGAATGAGTGAATCAAATACCCGTGGGCACCATGAATGGCGATGACATCAATCCCTGCAAGAATAGCCCTTCTGGCCGCTTGACCATAAGCTTCGATAGTTTGAAGAATCTCCTCGTTTGTCATTTGCCCTGGAGTAGCGTAGTTCTCGTTCCATGGTTCGGTAGTAGGACCTTGCACACTTTTCGCGTATCCTCCAAACTCATCGGGGACAAGGCGAAGTCCGAGCCAGGGTGGACACACACTGCATTTCCGGCCAGCATGTTGTAGTTGGATCGCGGCTTTTTGTGACTGCGAGTGGATGACGTCCACCACTCGCTTCAAGGGGGCGATGAGGTCGTCGGACCAGAGCCCAGCATCTTGAGGAGTGTTTCTTCCCTGTAAAACGAATTCTTGCGTTAGCGCACATCAGTGATTTGTGAATATGTCCCCTCAAATAACCCGATTCCGACATACCCTCAGGGTGACCGCTGCTGCCTCGATAGTGATTAGAGCGCTGCCCCTAATGGCCCACTGCCCATAGTGCGCCACATGGAAGTCGCTGAGCCTTCCATCTTGACAACTGTACATGCACATAGGTGCGACCCAAATGCGGTTCTGGAATGTCTTGTCGCGAATAGTGATGGGGAGAAAAGCTGGTGTGATGGTTTCTGCGGTGACGCCCTTCTCCGGTGCGAGAATCGCAGAACCAACAGGAACTCGCTGTTTAGGAGTGAAGAAGGGGATGCCGTCAACAGAGACGCTTCTGTAGTCGGTGTAATGCTCGTCCAGTGTAGAACCCATGTTGGCCAGCGGGAGGAAAAAAGAAGTTCAAGATGTCAACAGTCTCACTGGAAGATAAGCAGCAACATCTAGGGACCCTTGGGCGACCATGAAGAAGGACAAGTTTAATTATCAAAATCTCGCTCCAGGGCCTAAAAGGAAAGGGTTTCATATCTTAACCTAACTATGTTATTAGAGACCACGTAGTAATTGTGGGAAGTCTCCAAGAACAGCAGAACATCTCTCAACGTTGCCATTACGTTAATTGCCCTCAGAAAATGGTGTGAAAACCACGTTTAGCCTTTTACAGCACATTGCCTCCCAAATTTTTGTGGAGTTCACTCATGTCACCCTTACAGTAGTATCACAAACAAAGCGCACTGGCAGTTCGTGTGGATCTATCTGTATCAACGCCAACGGCAACCCCCATATTATCTACCCCAACTTCTCGTTGCTGGATCGGTCTTATCTACCCCAATAGTCTCTGAATCGGTGAGTTGGAGGGCGACAACACACAGACTCGTTGACAAGGTGAAGATCGCATGCGAGATCGTAGTACCTTAATCAATTCCCTTCTCATGCAAAGGAGTTTATAAAGCACGAACCCATCAGGCCCGGGGCGGTGGCGTATCCATGATATGGATGGTTCCTTACAATAGTATGACAGCAGAAAGCCTCGACTGACATCATGTCCGGACTGCTTCAAAAATATGAGATAAATGCCGATATGGGTGAGGGTTTTGGCCGATGGAAAATGGCAAGTCTCTTGATAAGCGGATGCCGCCTTGGTTGAAAACGTCTGACATGCCGCGTAGGGACCAGACGAAGAGTTGATGCCGTATCTCGATACCGCGAACATTGCCTGCGGCTTCCATGCAGGCGATCCATCCATCATGATGAACACGGTTCGTTTGTGCAAAAAGTACGGCGTTAAAGCTGGGGCGCATCCCGGACATCAAGATTTGTTTGGATTCGGCCGACGGAAGATCGATGTTAGTCCGAACGACATATACGCGCTCGTCATTTATCAAGTGGGTGCACTCAAGTCTATGCTAGAGGCTGAAGGGCTCGAGCTGTCACATATCAAGCCTCATGGGGAACTCTTCTTCTACATGCGAAGAGACGAAACCATTATGAGAGCGGTACTGAAAGCATGCGCCACCTTCAACGTCCCCGTTTATGCTCCGCATAATCCCAAACAGCAGGAAATGTGCAATGAGCTCGGAATTCCTTTTCAAAGCGAAATTTACATCGACACCGATTATTCCTCAGATGGAAAGCTGCTACCTGTCGCTGAGTCCAACATAGCGACCCCGGAGTTGTGCTACGAGCGCGCAAGATCCGCCATGCTCATGGACACTGGAAAAGACATCAATGGCAAAGAGTTTTCATTCGGCTTTGGGTCCAAGCTATTCGGAATATGCATTCATTCTGATATGCCAACCGTCCTTGATAATATTAAAGGCGTGCGTCGAGCAGTGGATGAGTCAAATCATATCAAAAAGTTGCCCCAGTCAGCCTGAGAGCTCTGGAAGGTCAGGTTGATGAAGAACTGCAACACGGGTATTTGCAGCGCAAATTAAAATGTAGTCAACTGCCTCTTGGTTTGGTGCAGAGATTGTCTCAGATGTTGGTCTAAGATGAATCCAGATTGCTCTTTTCCGTGTTATTCGAATCATGTGTATTGTCTCTGCTCGTGTCTACATTCTATTCCAAACCAACATTCTCCTTTGTTGCGACACCTTATTCTCTACAATACGTGACCGCGTATGCCTGCCTCACTGTATAGAATACATGCCGAGAATGGTCAATCTATTCAAGCCTTGGATCGACCCATTCCCCCTTCTCAAAAGATACATGACATACAAAGTGAGGGCGAAGCAAGTATAACTACTTCAGTGGGTAGGTAGGTCAGGTCTGAACTAGTGTTTTGTCAGCCCTGCTTGTCCCGAAGTGGCTACGGAGTCCAATTGGAGACAAAAAAAAAAAACCACTGACTCCTGAATTACTACCCCAACTATGGACCTCACACTTAAGGGTATCAGTAACTATGCAAAACCGAATTCTGTAATTAGAGCAAGCTTTTACAATTAGTGCATTCTACACGGCTCTGCCTTGAGATCTATCATGGCCTCCTTCAACGTGGTTTTCAACGATCAGCAGATCGATGTCCTCGGCCGATTCTTCACCTCCGGATCGCGACAGGAAGCTCTCGCCGAGCTTGTCCAGCGGGCTTTGGCGGAGGCCAAAGCTGGCGAACAGAGAACGCCGGCACGCCGGTCCCCGCCGCCAAAACCGACGGAGCGCCCAGTCGTCGCGGAGTACCTCATCCAGCCTGGCACTGGCAAGGCCATCGAGGTTCGTGCTGGGCAGGTATTACGCATTGAGCAGGTCGAGGGCGGACAATGTGGCGACCTCAACCTCTTCAGCCTCGATGACCGCAACGAGGCCATGCACGTTGGGCGCACTCGCGCAATGGAGGCCGGCAACAGCCCCAAGGCGGGTGACATTGTCTGGTCCAAAGCCCCTTGGGAACGGCCCCTAGCCGTCCTGCGGGCAAGCACCACCCAGACGGATCTATATTTCCCCTACTGCAGTGCTCTACTTTACCGAAAGTACTTCAGCACGAGCACACACACAAATTGCCAGCAGATTCAGCATGAGGCCCAGCGGGAATACGGGCTAGCACCATACAACATACATGAGTCTTGGAACCTCTTCATGTACGTCGACATGGACCCCAAGGGCGGACGCAGCATTGAGCGTAACCCTGCCCATCCCGAGGATTACATTGAATTCTACGCGTTGCGCGACATCCTCGCGATCCCAAACGTTTGCGGTGACGACCTCGGCAAGTCCAGCAATTACTCTCTGTCTCCCTTGAAGGCTGTTGTCCTCACAGGCGTTTCGGACGATGCCAACCACGCGAACGATGCACTCGGAAGGGTAAACGCCTCTTCCGCGGCTAATCATCCATACAACTTCCCAGCGGAGCCACCTGTGCGCGACGATAGCTACGTCCCCAACTTCCCCTTTTTGCCGATCTCCCAGACTGTTGTTGCTGTGGAACTCGACTCGGAACAAATCGACAAGCTCGAGTCAGTCTGGAACAAAGAGCTCTACCCAAACAGCCCAGCTGCTGCCCTGCGCGACGTGGTCATGACCTGGTTGTGTAAGCAAGTTGGCGATTGGTGATGTGAAGGCATTTAAACACTATCGAGCGAAGAGCTGTGGGTTTTTAGCAACACTTGATAATAACACTACCAAATGCAATTTCTACTCAATTTTAGCCTACGTGAATCCGAGGTCTACATCGTAAACCTGATCTGGTGTTATGAAGCATATTAAGAGGGTTCTGACCTTTAAGTATATGATCATTTCCTCTGACACTAACCATGCCATTCGTAAAGAAGGTCAGACTAAACCACCATCGACCCAAGAGGAGCACACTTTAGAAAGCACCAGACCCCATCATCCCTGAGGATCTTTCGGCGCTTTCGATCTCACCCCTTGATAATCATCTCTAATCGAAGGATCTTCCAGGCCCTCAATGACTTGTTTCAAGGATTCGGCAGTTGAGCCTTCGAAGATGGAGTCGATTTCTTCCAGAGTTTTACCCTTCGTTTCGGGGAACAACCACCATATGACGACGAAAATGGGCACATTCCAGAGACAGTTGATGACGTAGTACCTCCACGAGATGTTTTGGATAGCGATTGGAATGGCATAGCTCATTCCTGCTCCAATGAGGTAGCCAAGGGCCTGACCAACGCCGACGCCGCGAGCTCTTTGGGTATACTTGAGAATTTCCGGAGGGTACGAGTAGTTTAAGAGCATCCTTCAAATTTGTTAGCAGGCTGTGAACCAAAGGGAAATGACTGCTGCGTACCAAGACGAAAAAGCCGCCCAGTAGAAGATGAAGCACACGGCTACGGCCCCTTTTGCAAATGCGGAATCTTTTGTAGCCTCAATACGTTGTTGTAAGATGGCCAGGGTAGCGAACGATGCAGCTATCACCGTTGTTCCAACCACTAATGGAATGATCTCATAGTGTTAGTGATAGAATCATGATGGCTTTGGACTAGAATATGAGCTTCGACTGGAGAGACACTTGCAGAAAGATGACCTTCGTCCTATTTTCGAGACGAACCAAACGCCAAAAATGGAACAAAGTGCAGCCCATGCTGTGAGACCGACGTTGACCTGAAGAAGGGTCAACGTGTCGGTCACACCAGTCCCACGGATGATGATAGTGAAGAAGTATCTGCAGGTCCGCTCGTCAGCAATTACAAGCTCCAGGGCTCGAAGTGGTCATGGTGAAGGCATCCATACGGTAAGAAATTGCTGCCGTTGGTTTGGAAGAAGATATTTGTTAAGACGGTGATCAGAAATCTGCGAAAGTTGCGAGCTACACATAGATTCCATTTTATCAGTTTGAGTCCGTAGCGGCTACATTGACTTACCAGGAAATACAAGGGATTTCCACGAATCTCTTTGCCTCATTTGGATCTCAAGTTCAACTGTTTGCTTGATCTGCTGGAATTCTGCCAGAATCTCGGGGTCATTTCTGTTTCTCCGACTCATTTTGATGAGAACCTCGAAGGCCTATACCATCGATAGATTTAGTAGAGTTATGATCCTCACCGTTGCGGCCAAGGATTAGTATCGGCTCTTTACCTCATCTGCCCGATCCTCGGCTACTAGCCAGCGAATGCTTTCTGGCGCGAAAGGCAATATTACCAGTGCGATAGCGGGCCCGGCAATGTCGGCCTTGATAAGACATTAGCAAGTGACTGGTACGTGAGTGAACCGCCATGGAGCCATGGTCCATACCATTAGGCCCGCTCTCCATGCCCAATTTGAAGTTTTGTTGTAAACTCCCAGGTAGATGATACCACCCACCATGCCTGTGATAGGCAAACAAGCAACCATGGCGTTTGTTATTTCTTCACGATACTTGGGTGGTCCAACCTCCATCAACCATGACGGTGCGCCAGTGCCTGTAATGATGAACGAAATACCCAATAAGAATCTTCCAATCAGCAGCTGCACTTCTGGGAACCTGTTAGTACTACTATCTTCTTTACCCAACCAAGAAAAATGTGTCCCATAGAGAGCATCGATGAAAGGCTTACTCTCGTGCGCTGAGGCTTGGAGGATGGCTCCAAGGAGGGCAATTGCTGAACCGACCATCAGACCTCTCCGACGGCCAAGCTTGTCCAACACAAAGCCAGCAAACGGAACTGCAAATACACAACCAACGTAAAGAATTGTAACATTGAGGCCGGCCAGATCGGGACTAAGTTCAAAATCTATTTGACATTGCAGGTCAGAAAATGGCAAGATGGTGGCAAAAGGGCAGGGTCCTCGATAGTACAATTTTGGAAGGATGCCATAACGTTGAGACTATTTATGATAGCGACATCGAGGGAAAAGACACAGGTGCTCGCGATGCAAGCAATCAGCGTAATGACCAAAGCTGACGAGATCATGACTGCGATGTTGCGTTATTGCTTTCCGAATGTCTCATGCGGATGATATTCTAGAGTCAAGAGCAGTGAAAGCTAGATGAGCCAATCTCTAATGTAAATGTTTCAAGGCACGCGAGGTCTCTATCACTGATTTGGAACGTTGAATAAACCCCGACCGGTCGGTGAACTCGGTCATGAAGCCCGGCACACATGTAGCAGTTGAGCAGAGAATACTTGCGTACTTGGCTAGTAATAGTTATTCTCGATAACCATCTCGGCGCAGAGCGGTTCAAGTTTGAATACTCAGTCGACTGCTCGGGCGGTTCGGCCGATTCTCCCGTTGCTTCACGTCATGTTATCGCACAATATGCAGGTAGAGTCATCCTGACCATCAGCAGTCGGTGATCCCTTGAGAGTGGTATTGACGTTATCACTTTCGGTCAAGCGAGGATCTCTCTCCGTACTCGATATACAACAATTGTGGGGCTGCCGCCTGCCGCATTGCCGCTTGGCGGATGCGGAGGAGGGGGGGAAGCTACCTTACCCCTTCAAGCACCTCAAACAGTAAGGTAGGCATTATATGATAATCTTGTCCCTAGAGCTATTCGTATACGAATCGTACTTAGCGGTCTCCGCGGGATCCGTCATTCATTTGATGGAGGTAAGATATATGGTACCCCAAGACAATCGCATCTTATGCTGCGTATCGTCTGTTTCCAGCCATAAGCAATTTCGTTCAAATCTTCTCCACGATGTATCTCATTCAAAGTCTATCAGCACGTTGGCTCACACCCCTATCAATGTTGGGCCTTGTACTCTCTATCATTGCCATACTCACAATTCTATGGCTCGTAGCCTCTTACAGCCGTGTCTTGTACCTTCGGTCTCGCATGCCGCCTGGTCCTTTCCCATACCCCGTTTTTGGCAATATTGGACAGGTTCCTACGGAGAAACCATACTTGACGTTCGAAAAATGGTCCAATGATTATAACAGCCCACTTATTACTGTTTGGACTGGAACTCGTCCAACTGTAATCGCGAATGACTGCTGGTCGGCCTCAGACCTCATGGACAAGCGCGCAAACATCTACTCATCACGCCCAGACTCTTATCTTGCTGGCGACATGCTCGATGACACTGAAAACAACCAGACCAATCTCGTCTATGGCGATAAATGGAGGCTGCACCGACGAATCACGGTATGCAATTTGCTCGGTGTTTCATACTCTCGATGCTGTTGATACAGTGTCTAACAGCTTCAGCAGCATTCGGCAGTAGGTAGCCAAGCCGTGCGAGGTTACAGGACGTTCCAAGGTAACGAATCGAGGATCTTGGCCCGCGACATCTTGGAAAAGAACAACTTCGTCTCTGCCATCGAACGGTACGCATGTTCTGTCGCCGCTATTATCGGCTGGGGACGTCGCATCCGGGATACAGAGGACGACCTGGCCAGGCTGGCCCTATCCTTCGTACAAACGGGAGCTAGCTTGACCACTCCAGCACAACATTTAGCTGAGTCTTACCAGTGGATGTGTAAGCTTCCTAGATGGATATACCCATTGCCTTCAGCACTGTGGGAAGATGGACAAAAGCTACTGAAGTACTTTTACGCTCTGACTGTTGAGGGAAGCCGATTCCCCGAAGACAGTTTCTCTAAACGTCTCATGAATGAACAGCTGGAGCTCAAGCTTTCGCCCAAAGAGATCGCAAGCCTGACTGGCAACCTTATCGGCGGCGGTGTGGATACGACTACCACGACGATTGTGGTGTTCATCTTCGCCATGTGCGCCTTCCCGCGTGTCCAGAAGAAGGCCCAGGAGGAGATTGATTGTGTTCTTGCTGACAGGCCTGGCCCACCAACCTGGGACGACGAAGAATCCCTTCCGTATTGCCGTGCTCTCCTGACTGAAATCTTCCGATGGCGCTCTGCCATCGCCCTCGGCGGCCCGCCGCATGCCCCTACACAGGACGACATATACAACGGCATGTTGATTCCTGCAGGCACTACCGTTGTCGGTAACCTGTGGGCGATCCACCGCAATCCGCGTGATTACCCGAATCCGGATGAATTGAGGCCTGAGAGGTTTCTAGATGAGGCTGAAAGGCGGCCGAACCCTAGCAAGAGGGGCATCTTCACATTTGGCTGGGGGAGACGCGTGTGTAGTGGACAGCCGCTGGCTGAGCAAGGCGTATGGTTCACTATTGTCGAGCTGCTTTGGGCATTCCGGATGCGGTCCGTTGACGAGCAGGTACGTTTGTAGGCTTCTTCTTGTCTGAGGTTATGGCCGTGGTCCTTCCCAATCATCTCTAACCTGATGTCAAGATTCTGACAATTTTCTTTTACTTAGGGAAACGACAAACAGGTAGATATCTTCGCGTTCAATAATAGCCCAGCACCCCGGCCACTGCCATTCAACGTTGAATTTACCCCTCGTTCTGTGAACATCGAGGAGTTAATCAGGCAAGAAGCGTCAAGGGCTGAATTGGAGTTGAGGAAGTATGATATCACCAGCCAGATCGCTCTACCATGATAGCAGTTAGATTTCCCAACCCAGCACCTCACAGAATGTTGGCTATACGAGGGGCATGCGAGAATCATTAGACAGTACAGCTGAAGAACGGCCAGTAATTTGACATACAACCTTCATTCGAAGTTGCTCCAAGACTTCCCTTACCTAAGAAGTGCATTTGCTGCTCTCGTAACATATGGCTTCCAGATCTGGGAAGCTATGATACATTGGCTTCGGTAGGACACGTATGAGGCGATTTATGTTCCAGCACTCCCTGGCTGGCCGGGTACCTCCAGCAAAGAAGATCCCAATCAACGACGTACACCGCACCGCTGAGCGCCAGGCTATCATGCATCGCAATCAGAGCTCCGTCAATCAATAGCTGTTCAAGTATCGAGATGTGTAGGCTGTCTGAGCTATAGAGAGGTTGTGCGCGTCGGCAGCTCCTGGTGATTAACACGATTATTCTGGAAATTGCGGAACCTACACACCGAACGCCGAGGTCGCGTCGCCTCTTTTGTACGACTACCCTGCAGGTGTCGTTAATATATTGCTAGAAGACCCTTAGGTAGCGTCGGCGGGGAGCTGACGTCTCTGCGTGCGCGTTAGGCCCATTCCATGAGCATTCATGCAGGACGACCGGATGATTTCCATGCGTCGCGAGCACTGGGAGGGAGTATTTCTACTGGGCAGGACAACGAACATCGCTTCGAATTGATACAACTAGAATATCTCTAATAGATATAAACAATGAATCTTACTATGCTTATATACTTTTCTAAGAATCGACACCCTATTATCCTTTATAACTTACTAACGCCGCCAAAAACATCGTAGCCCACCACAACAACACTCACTTACACCATCATCACCAAAACTTCAACAAAAAACATACAACACCAGGTATTCGCTGGTCGTCACCGACCCAACTACTAATCCGGCCCTCATTGGCTTATCTATGGGAGAGCGGACGGGATCCCGAGTTTTCCAATGGGTATGGTCGTATGTGGTGGTTCAAGGAGACGTCGTAGGTCATCATCGCTGCTCCACGATGCGGCTCCCACACAACTCTCCCCCAATACCCAATCAGCCCAATATTTAGTAAGTGCAAAGAGGAGAGGGGTAACGGTACAGGTGATGGCAAGCAAGAAGTACACAGAAACGAGTTAAAGAATGCAGCTGAAAAGCCTATCTTGACTTGAACAGGAGACAAGGTTCAAACAATGCGGAAAGTATGTTTGTATTTGGTTTACCACACACATGGGATGATTGTCATTTGGATGCTAAGGGGGTCGGCCTCGCTCGCCAAGACAGATAGATATAGACCTCTTCAGACTGATGGCTGTAATGATCAGAGAAACCCACAGATGGTTGTTCGTCTATAGTTGTTTAAATTTGCCAGCTGAGATTATCCCCTTCCAACCCATGAGGCATGACGTCTAGGTGTCCATGAATGCCCCAGGGTGTCAGGCAATTTTGGGTTATGTCCTCCAAAGTTGATTTGCTTGTTTGACCTCTTTCCATTCTTGTTCTATTCTAAAACCATGACGAGTAATGGGCGATCCAGCCGGTGCCCTCTAGGCACTCCCCATACCTATCTATCATTCATCAGCCAACATGTGACCAGACAGCCGGTCTTGCTACCAAACTGAGACTCTCTCACACGCTGACGCTACGTCTCCCCGCGTCATGAAGCTTCACTGTAGTCTTCAAGACACACATGGCTTCTCCTCCCATCAAATCGTCTCGAGAGGATTAATAATCTAGACTAACAGATCTCCTCCCATTCCGCCGAACACTCTCACATGTCTCGGCCCCGATCGAGACTTGCGAACAGGTTTCAAAGGCTTTCAGTTGAATCTCTGTCAGGAAAGCATCCCACGGGCTCGAAACCCGCGAGCCAGGTACCACTATTTCCAGCACAAACGAGTGATGTCCGCCATCCGACCAATGCGACAAAACTATCTGCCCGCATGCCTATCAGCGTCCAAAGTGGGTGTGAACCCCGACGAACGCAAATAAATTCTCCGAGCAAGTAAAAGCCAAATAAAAAGGATGTGAAAAGTGAGGATCGACAAAAACTGGTCGAACGCGCGTCCGCTGTATTCTAATTATCGCACACAGGCCGTTAAAAGGCTTGATAGACCTCGGTTGGGATACATAAAGTGTGGATTACAACTTGCTGAAGATGGTTGCTCTCTCGCATCTTCCAGCATTCCTGCTGCCCGTTTGGCCGTGCGGCCCTGGTGTTTTGGCCAACCATCCTGACCAGTTGGTGCAATGGTTCCTGAGCATCCAAGTCAGGCGCGCGCGGATCAGAAATGCGACGCTCCACTAGCTGAAATCTTGAGCATGGTAGGATCTTGTCGCAAGCAATTGCTGAGAGGATTCTTGTTCTTGGAACATCCCGTAAGTCCTACTCATTCGCTCCAACCCCCGGAAACCCCAAGATAAGTTTGCTGTTAAGCATTGACGACGCATCTAACTTCAGTATCTGATATGAGACAGAGCTCGGGGTCCAGTCACAAACTCAGAAACTGGTCTCAAGTTTAACCAGTTTATCGGGTAATGTTTCCCCAAGCGATGTGTTGCTAGTCAGTCTCCCACACTGGGTCAGCTCCACGCAGGCTCGGCAGGTACCCGAAATACCTTCGTCAAAACGTAAATCTTGAGACAAACAACACCAAAAACGAGTTAAGCAAAAGTTCAACCTCCCGTGGTGGGAACTACGTCAAAAAGATGGACGATCTGGGAATCGAACCCAGGACCTACCGCATGCTAAGCGGTCATTATACCACTAAACCAATCGCCCATGGTATGATCTAGCCCGGACTTGAACCGGAGACCTTCAGTGAACAACCGAAGAATTGTGAGACTCTCGAGATGTTAGACTGACGTGATAACCAACTACACCACCAGACCACTTGATTGATGTGAACATTGGTGAGCAAGCGCAACATTAGGGCAGGGTTGCCGACAGGAACCACCAGGAAGCTAGGCGGAACCCGGCAGGACGGATGCGGGTGAGTGGGTCCAGGGTCTCCGGGCGGGCTGGTCTACCGAAATTCCAGACGACCAGGTTGTCGGAACCCATGATCAAGAAACTCTTTGCCCATGGGCGCCATTGCGCGGAGCAGATCCGTTGTGATATTGCAAGAAAACATGGAGCTTTAGGGCAAGTTGACGGATTCATGCGTTGTATGCGATGTGCTGACTCGTTATGATGGCTAGGCCTCAGAAGCCAGCCAGCCAGACTGCTGGTGCTGGATGAAGTGTGTTCTACTCGTGTGACACAATTGTATGAGCTTGACCCGAGACATGAAGAGGCTGCAAGCCATTGTGGATTGTAAGAACTGGTGGAAGGGTCGAGTGAAGAGATAAGTTGTGGGGTGGAGACAGCCCCAACCCACACTTGCAACATATTGCTCAATACCACGGCGCTTCCTCGAAGATCGTGGCGGACATAGCTCAGTTGGGAGAGCGTCAGACTGAAGCGGGACTGATCCGAGAAACTTCATTCAATCAATCTGAAGGTCGTGTGTTCAATCCACACTGGCCGCATCTTCCCTTTTTGTTGTCGTCTGTAACCGGGGCGTTTGTTGTGGTGATTGATAGATAGTAAGTAGTGAGTGGTTGGTTTGTTGGATTCCGTTGAATACGGAGTTTTCTATTTCTTTTTTGTCTATTTCGGTTCCGCATGTGGTAGGAGTAGAAAAGCATTGGTCTTTTTGCGGCTCTGCAAGAAGGGTGACTGAGTCTAGCTAGCCGGCCTGTGAGCAACGTCATACGGTCAAGGTAGGTGGAGGTTGGTGGTCAGTGAGATGGTGTGTACATCGTCTTCGGGAGTTGACACCGAAATCTGGCCATTCATAAAACTGACTGAAGAAACGATTGCTTCTGGGCCCGAAAAGCGCTCTACAAAGACCAGATCGTGATCGTAAATGCCCGCCCTCTGTTCGTCTGTCCACTAGTTACCGTCGTTTGATCTCGTGGCCTGGTATCCGATACATAGGTGCGTCATAAAGAATCAAATACTCCAAGGTCATGGCCAGCGCAGGCTCGTCCGGTCGAGTCGCTCGACAATTGGGATCGGGTTCAGATGGGGGAAGTTCAGTCGTTCGTTTGGATTTCCACTTGTGGAAAGGCTCATCGCTTGCCGCGTATGCCAGACAAAATGGGCGCCCCCAACCGGTCCGGTCAGTGCGAAGATTGGAGCGCGTAACAAACATCAGCCGGATTTCGCGCGTGGTAACGGTAAAACTGGAAACAAATGCCCATCGGCGACGGCTTTGAACCATCTGACAAAGCTGTTAAGCGGACCGATAGTGCCCGGTCCGCATTGTTCTCAGGTTTGCGAGCTGTGTCTCTAGTCGCCACCATCGTGAGCAATGAAATACACGACGCTAAGCACACGCAGTCCTCCTCGGTGCCGTCGTCGGCTCCGTCTCCGCATTTTCAAAATGCTTCGCATTGTACCCGACTTTCGAGGTGTGCTGGCCGGCTGCCGTCTTGGCAGAGAAACACCGTTCAGGCAAATCCAAGGGAATCTCTGTCATGGGTGGTGGATAGAAGATGGATTCCTGTAGAGCTAGCCACCATGCTGTCTCGAAGACCAAACATGGAGACAGCGCATCGATGTTCCCGAGGCGGGGCAGGAAATCCCATGGGCAGAGAGACGAGAGCCATGCTGACTGGGTATAGGCTGAGAGGAAACCAAGTTCTCCCAGGGCTGACCGTGGCTCAAGGGCGAATTAGTTGTAATTTTATCGTCTTATTCCTTGCCTGCTATACGTGGCTGCGTGTCGCACACGCTCAGAGTTGCGGGAAGGCTCGTCGTTGGTGTGGCGGCTTTCCCATGCAGATCCCCCTCTCGATTCCTTCGTCATGCTAGTCCCAGAGTCAGAGGGGCCACACGTTGCACGCGCGGCCACCAGCAGGCCTCACCTGCTCCCCAGGTCCGGTAGCAGATTTGCAGGCGATCTTTGTGTACTGCCTTCCCGGCGGCAGTGAACGGCCGCTACTGGGCATGCATGGATGGAACCGGCCGGAGACGATGACAGGCAGGCAAACAGCTAAGCATTACGGGCTGTCGGTAAATCTTGCCCTGGCTGAGGATGAACCCTGTGCCTATTCTTGGACATCATTCTTGGCAGGCCATGCGTTTCTTCATGGCGGCGCAAACATTGTATGTGCTGACAATGAGCATTGACTTTGATCTGGTTGTCGGATGCAGAAAGAGGCCGTGATGATTTCAGTTGCACGGAGAAACCAGCGAGCAGGTTTGATGCATTGCAGGGAATGGGAATGAGGGGTGTGTCGAAAGATGACGAGTACCCCAGACGGAGATGGCGACGCCCATAACCATGGCGTCCGCGAGAGACACCCAGCGGCAGGATCCGAGACAAGGCTGTTGTGTTGGTCGTGGGATGCCTGGGTGCCGTCACAACGGTTGTTTGGTGGTCGAGAAGGCGGCTCAAATGGGTTCGTAACCGTCGTATATGGTATAATTACTTCAGTAAGACCGATGTTGGTGAAGGAGGGCCTGTCTGACTCTTGACGCGGGCGGCTTTAGAGTTTAGGCTTGGCTCGTAGGAGATCTATAGGTTGATTGCGATATCGAATCTCGGATTTGCCAGACACGTTGCATTGGGGTGAGGGGGCCCGCGGGATCAGGGAGATCCAAGAGTGAGAGAAAGGGGACGACGCAGCAGCGAAGAAGCTTACTGCAAAGCTAAAGACGGCGCTTCGAGAAGGAGAGGGCGACAGGGCCTGACTCTGGTCGTTTGGCTGTTATGGTTGTCGTGTCTGGGTGGGTTGAGGTTAGAAGTTGGTCGGAGATGGGATGAATGTGGAGGAGTTGCGCTACACTAACAATTCCTGGCGCGTCTCGGCCAGTAAGCGAGCCGAGAGAAACCCCTGCATCCGTGCCTGAGTAGGCAAGTACTTGATGGGTGTTTCTGCAAGTATCTCGTCCGTGCAAGACTCCATGAAAGATACTTTACGGTACTGGAACAATTCTTGATCAAAGTAGAGAAGGAGGTGTCCCCTGCCAAAGGGGAAGGATTACCTAAGGCTCTTGTCTCACTCTATTCTTTAGCCCTCAGGGCAGGCGCAGAGCAATCGAGATTCAAGCTTCCATTGATTGATTGTACTTGCCCAATTGTAATGGTAACTTGAGGTACGTAGTGAATACGGATCAAGGTAATTCCAAGACTTTGGTATACCTATGCGGCTATGCCCGGCTGGTCGCATCCTCTCTTCCCTATCAAGTTCATCATCCTCTTAAGCCATTGGCGCCGCTAGATTCCCGGATTGCACATCCCGGACACTAGATCAAGTGATCTATCTATTCAACGCAAGGACGCCAGCCCGACAGATGACTATGGAAATCCAAACATCCGTCACTCGGGCAGGCTCCAGGTCAGACTCCAGCCCATCGGCGGCAAATGTTTGGGGCTCTTCTTTGAGGCACGGGTGTGGCAGCAAGCTAAAATCCGGAGGTGGCAGCTCCCGAACGACTCCTGTTGACCATCCATGTTTCAGATGCGCCTGGCAAGTCCGCGAAACCGCCCTCGAGTCCTCGACGCCCAAGGAAGCAGAAGTCGATCACGTCCCAGTCGGTCCAAACTCCCAAACCCTCCGAATTTCACTCGTGCCCGGCCCAGGCGCCAGGTCAAGCTTACCCGTCCTTGACTCTGAAATCTCCCTTTTCTGGCCCTTGCTGGGTCTCCAGTCACACTCGAGGTCAGGGTTGGCTTGTCACCTCGTGTTGTGTCTTGCCCTGCTGCCGGGAGGCAAGCGGGAAGCCCTGCTTTGCCTGTGTTGCATCTCGTCTGTGTTTCTGGTGTGTGCACCTGCGCCTGCGCCTGCGCGCGCGCCGCTACGATGCGTGGCTAGCATCGTTTTCCGATTTCACTCCTGTCTTTTCTTTCCATTTGTTTTTTTCCTTTCCTTCTTTTCGCTCTTATTTACACTCAGTACCTCCTCCAACCCGCTTCCGTGCCCTGTTTCCTGCTCTGTTTCTTCTCTGGACTTTTGGGGATCTGTAGGAGAAACATTCGAGAGTCGACGAACCAACTACACGCTGGACGACGGTTGAACGACAGGGAAGCAGACAACGGGACGCGGTTACAGCAACTCGGTTTTGGGTCAACATTCATCACTCAGAGCATTCGTCATTTGCTCTTATTAATTCCGAATACTTGTGCCATCATTGGATCGTCCACATCGCACCAGGCCCGGCCGCCGATTTGTTCATCTAATGGCCAATGTCTTGAAGACATACCCAAGTCGTCATACTTCCCTCTCCGCCTCGGGAAGTCTCTTCACACATACGACTTTCACTTGTTCATAATACCGACTCGATTTGATTCCGGGATTTCGCGTTGCCCTGTGTCTTGTTGGCGCTGGATCGATACCCTTTAGACTTCTTTTGAGGAACATTCCTCCATCTACTTTCTTTTCGAATCACATCCGACGCTCACAAGCCTCGATACACCACACCTCATGAACCAGACAGCCACCATGTCGTCCATGCCAATGGAACTCAACCTGCCCCGGGTGGTCCCCGGCGGCCAGCACATCAGCTATTACGTCGCCATAAGCGCGATGCTAGTGGTAGCCTGGCTCTTTCAGTCGCGAAGACCAAAGTTCCCTGACATGCCCTTTTACAAGGCCGCCAAGACGAAGTGGATGTTTGACGCCGAGACTTTGATTCGCGACAGCTACGGCAAGGTATGACGCGTACCAAGTCCAGGTTTCTTCGATTGCTGACAACAAAGCAGTTCCGCGATACTGTATATCAGATTAAAGCGACAGAAGGTCTACAGGTGCTTGTACCTGCAAGACTCATTGGCGAGCTGAGAAGCTTGCCAGAAGAGGTGTTGAGCGCCACAGAGGCCGTCGACGAGGCCATGTTGAGCAGATATACCAACTTCACCCTCGGCAACCACGCCGACCTACTGTCTACACTTGTACGGTGCAAGCTGTCGCAGAACTTGGCCAGGCTTGTGCCCCAGCTGAAGAGTGAGCTCGAGTACGTTGTCGCCACCGAGTTTCCGAATTGCAAGGGTAAGTCCGTCAGTCAGATTTTCTGCCTCCTCCAACTGACACGTCCCAGAATGGACACCAGTAAAGTTCCAACCCTTTGCGCTGCGAGCCATTGCACGGATCAGTGGTCGAGCGTTCGTAGGCCCTGACGTCAACCGACAGGAGCAGTGGATGGACATCAGCATTAACTTTGCCATCCATGTCTTCGTCGCCGTCGTTAAAATGCAGCTCTTCCCGGAGTGGGCACGACCGATTGCACAGTATGGAGTCTCGGAGCTGCGGCAGATTCGCAAAGACGTTGACAAGGCTACCGCCATGCTGAAGCCCATCATCGATGAGAGACTAAGGGACTTGGAGATGCCTAGCTACGAAAAGTCTCCCGACGACTTGATTCAGTGGCTTGTTGAAGCCCTTCCAGAGGACGAGAAGAGAGACGTCAGGTCTCAGGCCCATCTCCAGCTCATCCTCGCAGCTGCGTCAATTCACACCACGAACAATTTGGTGACGGATTGCATCTACGACCTAGCAGCTCACCCAGAGGTGCAAGACATGTTGCGCGAAGAGGCTCATCAAGTGCTTGAGGTAGAAGATGGCTGGGCGAGGAAGGAGAGCATGGCGAAGCTGAAGAAGCTCGACAGCTTCATGAAGGAGACCCAGCGGCTCGCCGGTAATATTAGTATGTTCATCAGCAGGCCCACCAGGTTTCACCCGTAGGGTAATGCCACTAACACGTAACAGCTTCCTTCATCCGAAAGGTCGTCAAGCCTATTGACCTCTCCGACGGCACCCACCTGCCGCCAGGCACAAAGCTTCTGGCCCCGCAAGCCGGTATCTCGCACGACGAGAGATACTTTGAGAACCCAGATACCTTTGACGCGCTACGCTTCTACAAATTACGACAGAAGTCCGACGAGGACGCAAACAGGTGGCAGTTCACCAGCATCAGCGACACCAACATGAACTTCGGCGCCGGGAAGCATGCCTGTCCCGGCCGCTTTTTTGCCGGGAACGAGATCAAGATGGTGCTGGCGTACTTTTTGCTCAACTACGACATGAAGCTCAAGGACGGGGAGACGAGACCGAAGCCGATGGTTATGGTCATGAGCAAGTCGCCCGATCCGAATGCAGAGGTCCTGTTCCGGCGGCGAACGGCCGCGGCGTGAGGCCCGACGTCGTGCATGGGTGACGAGTTGCATCTTGCATTTTTTTTATTTAAAAGCATTAAAACCATATTTATCATGAGGCTGGTGGTCGAAAAAAGCCACCCGCAAAATCTACAACGAACAGATCAACCCCGTGGCAGCAGACACGAGGAATAACGCATACACACATCTATCAAAAATCTTTCCGGCGTCGGGGCCTGGAGCTCCAAAGGAGTCTTGGACAGGCTTTTAATCGGAGGCTTGCTTTGCTGCCCGTGGAGGAGATACCATACCAAACATATGTATATTAACTACAAAGAAAGACACATAACCATGATTCACAATCATTATTCTGGGAAGAAAGAAAATAAGGCGGGTGGACAACATTAGAAGCGAGCCCATCGATGGCAATAGGGGGCGATGGCTACGGTGTAAAACCTCTTGTCATTGTGGTATTAGCTAGCGTTCGGAGGCGAGGGTCTGGAGCGAACAAATACATGGACAAATCACTACGCAAGATTAAAATACAAGTAAGGCTTTTCGAAACGTGAAGTGCCACGAGGAATTGAATATTAGAAAGCAGGTTGAAGATGCGGGAGCCTTCACCAGAGTCGAGTCGACAGAAGCGAACTCCGTACTAGAGAGTAAAACAGGAGGATCCCGACAACAACAAGATACGCCTTGTTGGCTAAGTGGTATAGCGTCTCACTAGTATCTAGTGACATGAGAAGATCGGCGGTTCGATTCCGCCACGAGGCATTTCTTTTGCAATTTCGACCGTCCTTTATTTGTTAAATATCTTTTGCTGCTCTTTTTCATTCTGGGTCATTTTTTTCTTCGTGTTTAGTCCATGCTGGCTGTTGGTTGCGGTTGTAGTTGTTTGTGTCTGTGTGTAGCGGACACCCGGTCCGGCTAGGTACCGGCCTCTGAGCTAAGACTATGTATGTACCTCACTTTAGCCTCTAGGCGGCATCATTCATAAGGTTATTTCTGCATGGGAAATCTTGAACTTGGATTTCACCTACTTCCCTCGAACCTCACCCAGCAAACAGTGTTTGCGTTAAAATCTACCCATACACTCGGCCATTTTTCTGCAGATACGGATACCTCACCCTTGCCTTGCCTTACTTGGCTCCGAGGACATAGCGACACACACCGAGCAAGGTCAAGCCACCCCCGTCCTCGTCACCTGCAGGGACTTTTTTTTTGGGGGGGGTTTCTAGGTTTCCCTTTTCTCGTCCAGTATCTGTGCCTACCCCATACGTCTTGCACTCATACCTAAGGTAGGTAGAGGGCAAACCGACGCCAAACTCGAACAAGAGCGCGAGCGTCGAAAAGACAAGTCAGGGCAGGACAGGATAGGACAGGGCAAACTCTACTGAATCCCGCCCCCCCCCGCCCCCCGTAAATCTAGAGAGTACCTAGTAGTCTATCTTGGCTTTTCGTAGGGCTGCCCGTCTGTGGCTGTCGTACTGCTTACTCGAGAAAGGCCGGCAGGGTATGCCACGATGCGTTCACGTACGACAAAATATTAGCCCGTAGGATGGACGATGCAGGTCGTTTACCTTGACCGACGCTGACTGCGGGAGGTGACTTGCATACGGGCGCATCAGCCCAGCGGGATCTTGGATGGAAAGAAAACCCTGCCTGCCTTGGCTTAGTAAGGTAAGGTGAGGTGCAGCGGCCGTCATCCCCATCATGGAAGCAGGCTGCGATCCTCCTCCCCTAGGTACGCCATGCAATGTAGATACCTAGATAGATACATACTTACACTCCCAATTATACCCCCTTCCTCGACATTCCGTATTTCTGCTTTCTTCCGTCGAACCAGCTCCCGCAGCGACGCACATGATGACTCTCCCCAAAGAAAAGGATCCCGACGGCGGCAGCATTAGACGCAGACCCTGCTGCCCTACGTACCACTACTCACGGATAGATAGAAGCTAAATCCACAGTGTACCTCTTCTCTCAAAAGTCCTCGTTACCTAAGGCGAGGTAAGATAAGCCAAGGTAATAGGAACAAAGGAAGAGGGGGGGGGGGGATTGGAATTTCCAAAAACCCCATGGCTGGAAGAAAATTCCATCCGTCATTCAGCCCTACAAGCCAAACCTGATTCGCCCATCGTCCGCCGGCCGCATTTCCCTGGCTAGGTAATCCTTCTATTACCTTGAACCTACCTTACTCAGAATTCCAAAGTGCAGACTTGAATCCATCGCGCCATATCACCTGCAAAATTCCAATCTCGCAAAAAACCCGAACCTGACGTCCAGTAGCGTCCCCCGGGCCTGCGTCATCAACCTTCGCGATATGCGTTGCATACATACTATAGATGTTCGAGATGGTTGCCGCGTATGACAGACAGCCACAACCTTTTCCTCCAGCCTTGGGACCGCGTACGCCGTGTCCGTAGCGATACGCTCGATCAACAAAGGCCATCACATATTTATCCCTCACCCCTCCCATCAAAAAAAGGTACACCATAATAAGCGGGGGGTGGAATAGGAAATGGCACGATAGCTACTTACCTGGCTCACATCATCGGCGTAAATCACATGCGCGGTGCCTGCCCACCCACCCCCATCCAACCCCCTCCCCTCCCATACTAGGTTCTCCTCTCTTCGCGCTTGCTCCGCTCTCCGCATCAGACCCCGTTGTAGAACGCAGTGCATCCATCACCCTACCCAAGTACTTTGGACCACCACCCCCGACACGCGATAGTGCCTGTGTACCGGGTACATCACCTGTCATATTCACACGAAATTTCAGCGAACGACGGGACCGTTCTTCTCGACATGGCTCGTCCCGAGATGACTAGTGTGGGGTTCGTCTTTTTCTCGCTCCCGCGCGCTAGCCTCGAACATGAGGTGGTGCACTAGGTAGGTACCTTGGACTGTCATCAGACATCGGCTGAACGGGCCTGGCCTGGACGATGCGAACCAGACCAAACTCAATTGTCCGTTGGTGTCAGGTTTGTCACGGGCAATGGGATGCACCATTTGCAGATAGGCAAAAACCAACCCATACGTGTATTCAAAAGTAACAAAAGTAACAACATGCCCCCAAAACAAGAAAGTCCGGTATTGGTAACCCCTTGAATCTCAATCAGCTCGAAAGATGCCCGCTCGGTTCTCTTTACATTCCATCAAAACTGGGTCTTCAAAGGGTATCAGTATGCCGCCCAGACAAAGCAGATCCGTCGCTCCAATCCAAAATACAGTCTATCATCCTTTGTGCCAGGTCTGTTTCCGAGGCAATAACATGTGGGATCTGGAATCCAAAACAGTAGCATCCCAACCGAAGAAAGCAAACAACACGCTCGCTAAGCAAGATCAATAAACTTCAGTCGACCGGCTCGCTTCCTCGGGGTATATGCGACGATTGCCGCTCGACCAATCTTCCGTCGCCGCTCTCGATGGTGCGGAAATGCGCACCTCGCGCTCCGGAGGAAGAGACGTGTGTTCCGGCGAAGCCTCGCGCCCTGGAGACACCATCCCACTCCCTGTAAGCGGACCACAAAACTCCTCCGGCGATTTGACGGCACCGTCTCTCCACCAGTGGTACAAAACGTCTTGCTGCCACTTGTGTACGTTGCCAATCCTGAGTCGAAGAGTGTGTATAAAAGTTGAATAAAGAAGTTCAACAGCAATCGGCGAAGTACGCAGCTGCTGCAGAAGCCACCGCGTGATAAGATCCGATTTATCCTCTGCCTTGAACTCGCTAATCAGCCTAGAAATGCCCAGCTCCTTCTGGGCCGCCCGAAGCTGCGGCAGCGTAGCCGGGTCCGCCGCGTGGATCTTCGCAGCGCGCCTCACCTCCTCAATGGCAGTCACCGGCTCCGGCCGAAGTACATGATCCGGACGAGACAAGAGTTCGGCAAAACGACCATGGGCCAGAGATCCAGATCTTGGAGGCGTGTTGTCGAGCGCCATGTCTTCGCCGATGTTGGGGTCGAGGGCGTGTGCGATTTCGAAGGACGGATGCTTTTTCATTGCACCATTTTCTTCACAAATCTGCTTCAGTCTGGAGACCTCTTGTGCCAGCCGGTCCATGTCCTCACGCTTCTCGCGCTCTTCTTCCGGATATTCGTCCATAAATTCGACTTCTTCCGCGCTAGGCTTCATCCCGGTCGATTTCTTAACGTCCATACTGTATGTGTATTGCCTGTGATACAACAGAAGATCGTCGTGCTCTTCTTTGGCGTTATTCAAGTCTCCAATGGCAGACACAAGGTCTTGCCAAAGCGGATGGGCATCGTCGGAAGGCCCGTGGCGGGAAATACCGGTGAGTTCATATGGTATATCCGGCTGTTCTTCAGATTCGTCATCTTCGAAATCGTCATCTCGCATCCTTGGCCGGGGTTGTCTCTTGCTGCCAGCGGCCAAAAGACTGAAAAAGCGTGTCTCAGTATTGTTGAGGCCTTCCTCTTCTTCGTCTAGCGACACCTCGAGTTCCTCGTAGTCAACTTCGATAGTGTGGTATTCCGTTCGAAGTGCCTGCATCTCGGCAAATCGTGTCTCCAACATTTGGTCGGATGTTGCAGGTAGACCACGTCGACCCTTGACAAGGATTGGGCGCAACATGTTCATGAAGTTGTTGTCGGCTTCATCCTTTCTGCGGCGCAGGTCCCGAAGAACCTTGCGCCGGCCAGCCATGTCCTGCTTTAGAAAGTTCACTCGCTGACGACTATGCTTCATCTGTACCCATAGCTCCTGTACACCGTCGTCCAGAGATGCCATGGACGCCACCGACGATGCATCTGAATCGACGAGGCTGGGTACGGAGCTCCGTGAGTTCTCAAGCCGAGAGACTTTGTCCGTGATAGAGTCTGTAATATGTTTCCTCTCTCGCTCAAATACCTGACGATCTTGTACGGTGGGCATAAGCGGTGGAAAGACTACGCGATTTTTCTGTTCAAAGTAATCTGCCTCCACCGAGCTTGTGTCGTCGTCTGAGCTAGTGTATTCGTGATGCCACGAGCCTGATGATAGGGACATGGATGGTGAAAGGCTGCGTTGCATCGAAACCTTTGCCAGCCCTCGACCCCTGAAGGCAGCATCGAGGTTTGACGACGGCGGCGGCGGCGGCGGCGGATGTGGTGGGTGGAGGAGCATGGTGGGAACGGGTGGCCGCGGTCCTCGGGACGGCGGAGGCGGAGGCGGAGGTTGAGGTCGTTTGTATCCGTAACTGACCCGATGGGATAGAGGACGCGGTGTGTTCGGGCCTGAGGATTGATAACCATGGTGTTGTGACGCATCGGACTCTGGCCATGTAGATGGAGCTGCCATCAAGGGGCCAAGGGAGTTTGGGCGTGTCAACGTCGGGGGAGGAGGAGGTGGTGGTGGTGGTGTTGGATGTGATCGTGAGAGTGGTGATGGCATGAGCTGGACGCTTTCGACATAGCTAGCATCAATAGTCGTTGCTTCGGATGGAATGGCATGCTCGTGGAATTCGGCATCCCCTGACAAACTCGAAGCGGAGGTCCGTCGTCGGGGGCTTTCGGTCGTAGCCATGAAGAGAGGCTATGGTGCGTACTGGTCGTGGAAAAGTTCCATCGCTTGGTAAGGTTTAGCTTAGTATGCGACAAAGGGAGAGTTCGTCGTCGATAGGCGCTGGAATGAATTTCGAACGAGAGATGTGACGGCTCGACTCGAGAATGTTGTGGGCGTAGTCGACGCGGCTCGTTCCAGTCACCACCTTCTTCAGGTAAGGTGGTGCTAATTACGGATGCATGCCAGCAGGAGCAGGCCAGCAGCAGTGAGAGCGGCAGCAGCAGCAACCTGAACAACAGCAGTAGGTAATGCAACAAACGTGGGAACAAAAGGATGGATGCTGACCGAGGCGAGCAACACCGTTGGAGGAGCCACCTTGACCCTTTCTCGGTAAGCGGATCCACTTGCCTCCCGTGTGCTAGCCCCCTTTTGCACCTGCCTTCTGTGCCTTTCGTGCCTTCCCAGCCGTTCAGCGGAGACCAACCAGGTACTCCAGGAGGGTACGAGAGTACGTACTGCGGACCTAGCTGCTGCCGTCCCGACGCTAGTCCCGATATGTGTCAGCACCACAGCTAATGAGCCCGAGCTTCCGTGGGGGGGCCCCTCCTCGGCGGTCCACACAGACAGTGACAAGGACCACCGCGCACCACTGGCACCATTGGCAGGTGGACACGGACAGCGCGGGGTCAAGTCAAGCAGTCGTCGCTACTGGTGGGAAGTCATCCCACACCCAATCACCCAAACACAACTAGACGAAAAAGCGCAGCCTGGTTCCATTTGTCTCTTTTCCAACCACTTCGTACCGGTACAGAATTTCAATCAACACGCGAGCCAACCGCCGCCGGCCAGCAACCTCTTCGGGCCTTCATACAGCCAGGGGTGGCGTCTCTTGGGTTGCACACCATACAACGAACAGAACGGGGACCGGGGTGTGCAAGCGGGTGCCATCTGTGAGACCACCTCGCGGAAGAGGAGAAGGCGAGCCTTTGGGGCCGCTGTTGTTTCTTGTCCACTTTGCTCCACGTACCTACGGTGGGAAATACTCGATGGAAAATGAAGTGCATTCGGCTTATCGACCCCGGGTCCATAGACCATACTGTGGCAGTCATTTGGGAGGGTAAACTCGGGAAGAAAAGGCAACCGTGCCGTGTCACACCCTCTTCTTGTCGTTCTCCGTCTTCCGTTTCCTGTCTCACGCTCTCCCGTTGACCGATCTTCTTCCTCACACTCTTTCTCTCAGCCTGGCACCGACCTTCCACCTCAGTACATCCCTTTAGGATTCAAAGTCTCCTGCAAGACGATGCAGGCTCTGTGAAGGCTCATACCCCCCTTCCTGCAAGAGCACTGTCGCTTTTGCGCCAGTCATATCTCGCAAGATACGTCACGCGTTGCCGCGTAGCTACTTCAACCAATTAAGCGGGCACTCCTTTTATCCTGTCGTGGCCCCGAGGCCTCGAGGCCCGGCTTTGCCTGTCGAGGTCCGCTTGTCTGTTGTCTCTTTCTTCTTGAGCCTCAAGCTTACACTATCACGAAGACTCGGTCTCCGTCCCCGAACCCGGTCTTGCGCGGAGGCCCACCCATGATCGGCGCCGAAGTTCGAAGCTCTCCAAGTGTCGACACAAGATGCCATCATGCACAAGTCGAGCAGGTCAAGCAAACACAAGTCGAAGAGCGGAGGAGGCAGAGGTGGGAGCACATGGAGTGCGTGGAGTGATTGGCAGTGGAATCCAAATTACCAGAAGAACTACAGGTATCGCATGAATAGCAATGGTGAGTCATGAACCAGTCTGCTATCGCGAACACAGCTGACGTCCAAAGGCGAATACGACTATGAGTGGCAGGATATTGTAACGCCGGCCCCGGCGCCGCAAGACGACTTCACCCCCCGAGCAGTAGACGAACTCACTGAAACCATGGACAACCTCGATCTACCGCCTACCACCGAAAACAGTTATGGCTATGAGGGGCATGATGCCGAGCACAATGGTGAGTTGGGTGACAACGTCGCATAGCCGGGTCTAACCCTGCTACAGATCCATCCTACATGTATGAACCTTCGGCGACATCCCATGGCAGCTCAGGTAGATCTAGGAAAGGAAAAGAGACAGCCTACGCCCCAGAACCACACGATGGGGAAAGCCCTCCGCCCGAAGACCCTCCCCCGACGGCGCCGCCATTAGATCCATTCTGGGGCGCGGAGGGTGGTGCCACCGGGCTACAGGACGAAGAATGTAAGAGAGGTTTCTCTTGTGAAAAAGTCTGTAGCTAACAAATCCAAAGTAGCTCCTCCGCAAGCTGGCGCAGAAAGCCTGTATCATGAGGCCGAAGGATACGGGGCAGCTCATGATCCAATTCCGGCTACATACAGTCAAGGTGAGACACTCGGGCTAGGGGTTGGAACAATGCTGATGTCGGTAGACTCTGGGTACGCAACGGCCGATCTCGATGACTTTGATGACCCGGTTGTGCAAGAGGCTATGTCGAACCGCAACGAGATGTATGGGACTTCCGGTCACGGTGGGCCATCAACGGAGCCCGCATATGGCACAGGTAAGAAACAGACGATAGATAGTCCTTAGTGTCATCCCCACGGCTAATTACCCAGACAGCTTATCCAGCGTACGAGGAGGACGACGGTGCGGCAACACCGAAGGGCCGCCAAAGCCCTACACCATCCTTCGACATAACCGGTACTCATGGGTCTGCTGAAGATCTTGACCCTCGTAAGTTGTTGAACTCATCTATACCTTGTTTCATTGATTCTGATAATTTGCAGGTTACGTCGTCGAACCGTCACACAAATTCCGACCCGGATCGGTAGGTTACTTTACATAGTTTTAATAGCATTTGACTAAAGGTGTAATAGGTCTTCAAGGTTCTATGGTCGGAGCCATCCGGCTCTCACGCCGCAGGAAACTCGACGATATCTGAGAAGCAGCAAATTCAAGACCAATTCGGAGGGTCTGTATTCATCGGTTTCAGACGCTTCATTGTCATTGCGAATGACGAAGGGCACTGCACCTGCGTGTAAGTCGATACCAACCGTTTTTGTGAATTTCCACTGACCAATTCAGGCCAATCCTCACGTATCAAGGCAAAGCTTGTAACAAGAGGGGCGTGAAAGCCCACAAGCACGGCATGATCTATAGCCACAAGCTTCATCGACCGCTTCGCGACGAGCCAAAGCTTGGATTTCCACCAGTCCGGGCTAAGATCACGATTGAGGGAGAAAAGCTGGCCAAAGAATCACGTGTCAACTACTCCAAGCTTGTCACGGTCGAACACAACGTCAAGGTCTTCTTCATCGGCTACATCAGCCCGGACGATTTTGAAGACGTTGAGTATGCCGTCGACGACTGCTGGGAGAAGAAGACCCGAGCGAAGAAGAAGTCAAGAAAATAAGCAGACGCCACTGTCTGCAAACATGTTTGCGTCTCTGTCACAACTTGTGATGGCAGCACATTTTAACAATTATACGTTTGGGGGGAGCTAGGCTTATCTACGCTCCTCTATCACGATGAGACGACAGTCTATTTTGCCGACAATTCGGCTCATTTACTACGACATTATTGCGGAAGCTATGATACGATGATTCACATGTTATCAATCATTTACTTGGATTTATCTGGCATGAGATTGTTCTTCACAAGGGAGTTGGCAGCATTAGCAGCATTGATGCAGGCTTGAACAACAGTGGAAAACATGGGAACAGGCCATGGACAGATTGCATTATTAGAGTCTCTTTTCCCTCATCTCGCGTGGATATCTCGTTAACACGATCACGACTCTCGTCTACGTGCTATTTATTCTTCAACATGGAACTACCTACCCTGCTTGCTCAGCCTCTGCCTGTGAAGTACCCTGCATATAAATTGCGATGGGGCTGTGCCGCACACCCAGGACCCAGAGCCCTGGGATAAGGCAGCCGTACCTTACATGGAATTTACAATTCCTGTCTTGGTGTTTTTGCACTTTTGCCCCCCTCAAGGATTCCAAGGAACCCCCAAAGAACCCCTAGGCAGCGAAAAGGCAAAATGCTATGCATCAGTAATCGGCCCCGACCCCACGCATTTCCCCGGTGTGGACCCGGTGTCTCTGGAAACTGGAGCTAGCGGGACAGCCGAGGCTCGGTATCTTCTCCCCCGCAAACGTCACCGCCCGGGGTAAGGTCGGTTCTAAACTCTGGGGGAGAGAGACAGGAATTGATTGATTACCTAGCTGTACCTGATTTCCAATTCCGTCCCCTTTTTTTACCTTCTTCTTCCCATCATACTTTTCATTCTTTTTCCGACCTGCCGAACTTGCTTTTCTTCATTACATATTTTTGAAGCAATCAATTGAAATACAAGGAACTCAGAAAGAAATCACCAGCAATGGCCGAAGCACAGCTCAACGACTTTCCCTCCCTCTTCTCCCTCAAGGGCAAGGTCGCCGTCGTCACCGGCGGCTCCCGCGGTCTTGGTCTGCACGCCGCATCAGCGTACGTTCAATTTCTCCTCTCCCTCCTCCTGCGTATTTCCCTCGTATTCTCTCCAATTGCGCACAATACTTTCGTACAAGAAAAGAAAAAAACTCCCGACTAACCGAAAGAAAAATCCACAGCTTCCTCCAAGCCGGCGCCTCCAAAGTATTCATCTCCTCCCGCAAGGGCGCGGCCTGCGAAGAGGCATGCAAGGCCCTCAACGCCCTGCCCAACCTCCAGCCCGGCGCCGTCGCGATCCCGGTCCCCGCGGACGCGGCGTCCATCAAGGGCGTGGAGCACCTCGTCGCCGAGGTCAAGAAGCACGCCGACCGCGTCGACATCTTGTTTGCGAACGCGGGCGCCACCTGGGGCGAGGCGTTTGATACCCACCCGGACGAGGCGTTTGCGAAAGTGATGGATTTGAACGTCAAGGGCGTGTTTAACACCATTCGGCTGTTTACGCCGCTGCTCGAGAAGAGCGTGGCTGCGAATAAGAGTGCTGGCGGTGAGCCGGCAAAAGTTATCATCACGGCCTCTGTTGCGGGATTGGGTGTTGGTACGCTGGGCAAGCAGGGGACGTACGGGTACAGTGCCAGTAAGGCGGCCGTGTTGCACCTCGGTCGTAATTTGGCGCTGGAGCTTGCGCCTAGGGGGATTACGGTGAATTCCATCGCCCCCGGCTTCTTCCCAAGTAAGATGTCCAACGGGTTGTTGGAGATTGGCGGCGGTGCGGATAAGATTGGAAAGGGGAACCCGATGGGTCGGTTGGGACGGCCCGAGGATATCGCGGGTGCTGTGGTGTACCTTGCCAGTCGTGCGGGTTCGCATGTTAACGGGGAGGTTATTGCTATTGATGGCGGGTCGTTGTGGCAGAGGGGGGAGTTGAATGTTCCTCCTAGTAAGTTGTGAGTGAGGATGTGGAGGGGGAATACTTTGTATTGCTGGACTTGGAGGAATAGGAATGATGTAGAACGTAGATGGTGTTATTGAACAAGAAACGTGTATTGTCCCATCAGGGTTCACTTTGCCCTGGGCCCTCGAGTCTATCATGCTCTCGTAATGCAGTGAATTTGTACCGCCACCCCCCTTTTCCCTCCCGTGATATGTACAGATAGTAACAGAGAGAGGCAGCATTCACAGCTACAAATGGGCAAAGAAAAGAAGAGACAAAGAAGGAGTTTCAAGCAGGGCGCAAAAAAAGAATCTACAACGGCTTCCGCGCCACCCAGAAGCTCGCGCGGTACGTCGTATGCAACATACTCTCCCCGTCATGGATATACGGCGCCTGAATCCCCGTCTCTCGCCTCTCCACCACGAACCCGACCTTCTCGACGAGCGCCATGACCTCGTCATCGCTCAACTCGAAGCTCCCCGGATCCGCAATACCCGACGAATTACTCGCGTCGTGGTCGCCGTCGCCGTCGGTATCGCGCCCGTGGTTTCCGGGGGCATTATTCTCAAAGTGCCACAGTAAGGGACCAAAGTTGATGAGGAGACCGCCGGGGCGGAGGGCGTGGTGGATCGTCTCGAGGTAGCGGATCAGGTTGGGCGCCGTGTCGAGGAAGAAGACTGTCGCTACGGCGTCGTAGGTCTCAACGTGGTCGGCGTCGGAGTAGAGGCAGAGAAAGTCTGCGGCGCACATGGACATGCTGCCTATACTTGTGCCTGGTTCGGACGACTGCTGCTGCTGCGCCCGCGCGAGTTCCGTCGCCGGGTGGATGTCGGGAATGGCGCAGCTCCGGAGGTGGTTCTCGCGCGTGCGGTGATTGGAGAAGGAGTGGACCCAGGGGTAGATTTTGTGTTGGCCTGCTTGTTTTGTGCAGTTTAGGATGTAGGAGGAGGCGAGGAGCTGGTGGTAGGAGATCTCGTTGCCCTCTGCGTCGTGCCCGTTGAGGCAGAGGTCGAATACGAGGCGACCGAGTCCCGCGCCGGGGACGAGGACTTTTAGGGGTTCCACGGGGGTAGCAGCGGCGTTGGCTTCTGCTGTCGTAGCAGCAGCAGAAGAAGAAGGGGACTGCCGAGCCTTACGCTCGCGGTCGAGGGCGTCGAGGACGGGACCATAGCATACGCTGCGCTCCGCGGCACCCTCTGCGGACCAGTCGCGGTAGAACTGGCGGAGGGTGCTGCGTGCTTTATCGGTGTCGCCGTGCTTGGCGACGCCGACCCAGGGGTCCGGCAATTTGGGTTCCTCCGTTGAGTTCTCGTCTACAAGGTGGAAGGAGCGCAGGCCGTTGTGGGCGATGGCGCGGGCGAGCTCGGCGTTGGACTCGATGGCGTCGTCGGTGCGCTCGAGGGTGTCGAGGAAGTTGAAGGGCGGGGCGGCGAGCATCTGCCAGTGCGCCTGGGGCAAGGCGTAGAAGGATTGGCGGCGGAGGTGGGTGACGTTGAAGTGTGCCACTTTTGCATATTGGCTGGGTGGTGATTAGTGAGTTGACTCTTTGAGATGATAGCGGTGATGAGGAAGACGAGAGACAACGTGAGAGAGAGAGAGAGGTTGAGTCCGTCCATTTGGTCAGTATGAAGAATGAATTCCTTCCGCCTTGCGCAACTCATCCGTGATATAGCAGTGGTCTCCTCATCCAATTGGAGAACGGGAAGAGAAAATAAGGACATAAACCACTCACAGAAATGAGTCGAGGGCACAGAAAATGACCCTCGTCTCCTCGGGATCGTTAACCGTGTTCTCCATGCCGCTCCATTGCTCGTCGTCCGCCATGGCTGGCTAGCTGGCTTTCCTCCCCCAATTACTTCCTGTCCAAGACCTGTACGCCTTGTCCTTGCGCCTCGATAGACGACGTGGTAGGCTTCCGGGTTCGACACACCAAAATCTGACCAAAGGTGAGACTTATGACGGTTTTCCCCCGTTTAATGAGCTCGGCGGTGATGATGGTGGGTTTGCGCAAAGTGGCTCTGATGAGGGGCAATGATTCCGGATCACCCCTGCTCAAAATCGCCAGAACCCCTCTCAACGAAACTGAGAAACTGAATAGAGATTGAAAGTTGCTCGACGAATGGTCTGTTCTCCGTGTTGGTTCAAGTAGAGCGATTGGTCCGCCCCGGAATACTGAACTCGTTTGAGAAGGGAAAACGGGAATGCGAGCAAGAAAGGAGGTTGAAGAAAAAAAGCAACCCGACGGTACCCCGCGGCGTCGTTACTCCCAACCACCCCGCCGAAAAGAAAAGGGTCCCCGCCCCTCCCCCCGACAGCGGCCGGCGGCTGCCGCGATCGCTCGGGCCTGCAAGGATCCAATGAGTTACCAAACTTATCGTTCAAGTTGTGCATCACCCCCGCCTAAGACAACCGTGGGGCTAAAAACTTTATTGCTGAAGGCCCGGCTTGCCAATGGGTAATAAACGTGGTCAGGTAGATTACCGCAACATTCATGGAGTTGAGGCCATCGTTTGAACCCTCAAACTTTGAGTTATCAAGACCTCCCTGCCAATTTTGAGGTAAGAGACTACGGGAAAGCTGAGGATTGATGTTCAAGAAAAGTGATTGTTATTTTACTACAATATAAGAATGATAGGGGTTAGTGAGATGCAGAGTTTCTTCGTATACCCAAACGTCTAAGCTACCAGCTACTCAATCTTCAACGATGGGTACTACCTTACGAGCAGGGTCAACTACGAACGGCCTCACTCATATCATGAATTCTACTAGCCTTCACATCGCCATCAAAACCTCACCATCCCATGACACCTCAACAATCACTAATTCATCCTATCAACCAAACTCACAGCTACAAAACATCATTGATGAATTCTCATTTCATTGCTTCAGCCCCATCATCATCAATCTACATGATCGCGTTGCTCGCGTTGCTACTCTACACATCCATCCCGCAGGGCACAAAGTCCCCATACCAGGAATTACCACAAAGCAATGCCCAAACGCCCGGGTTTCTCAAAATATGCTCGCCAATCGCAACTAAACTCATTTCGTGTCTGTGTTTGTTTTTTCTCCATGATCCATCTTCCGTTGTCCATTGTCCATGCAGCCTCACATGAGAACGTCATGCGTTTCTCAAGACTCATCATACTTCATGTCCCCGTCCTCATTGTCCAGCCATGAATCACTAACCATTGCTTAGTGATCACGGTGGCGCCGCTCCTTTCTCCTCTTGCGCCTCTCATCCGCATAATCGCTGCTCACAGCGCTCTGGCTGCTCAAACCAGGAATGACGTGGTGATACGACTTGTTGCCCACATCACTTTCCAGCGCGCTCGTGATATCGCTCTCGGCCCAGCTGCCGGGCATACTCGGCTCGGGCTCCTCCCTCGGCGGCGGGAGCGCGTAGCCGCGCGTGTTCTGGTCCTCGGCGACGGTGCTCGCCCGCTGGAAGCTGAAATCGCGCCTCGAACTGCCGGCAGCCCGCCCCCGCTCCTGCAGCTTCTTGGCCTCGGCGCGGATGCGCTGGCGCTCGCGCTCCTCGTTGCGGTCTGCCGTGCTGTACACCTTACGGATACCACCGTGGCCGCTCTTCTTGTGGGGCGTAGACGTTGGCGTGGTCTGCTGGCCGGACAACAAGCTGGTCGAGACATTGGATTCGGTAGGGTTCGTCGAGCCGTCCCACTCGGACGCCTCGGATTCCTTGTTCAGGCCGCCGACGCGGGCGGGCTTCTCGTGGCGGTAGGAACGAAGATGCTTCTTGGCCTCGCGTTCGGCCTCCTCGTCAATGAGTACGCCGGCCTCGTCGTAGTTCTGGGGCGAAGACTTCTCCTTGTGGCGCGCGGCCTCCTTCTCCCTGCGCCTCTTCTCCTTCTTGCGCTCGCGCTTCTCGCGGGCGCCGATGTCGCTGGGCCCCGCTGTGATGCCGGACAGAGTAGTTCCCGAAATGCTAGTCTGATTGTCGTCGTAGTCCTTGTAGACGCTGCCGCCCCCGAGCTTGGTCGACTTGGTGGCGCCAGACAGGAGAGTGCCGTTGGGACCCCTGCGGCGCAGCACCGTCGTCTTGTAGTCGTCCCAGTCGTTGTCCTTGAAGTAGAAGCCTCCGTTCCGGGCCCAGAAAAAGAACCAGATGCCGGTGATGACAAAGGCGGCGCCGATGAGGCCGAACAGCACAAAGATGGCCGTGTTGTTGATGTTGCCCGGGTCGGTAACGCCGACGTGGGGGTCCTCCTTGTAGCCCGTACTATCGCGGGCGAGCAGGAGGGAGCGAGCGGCGAGGGGCCCGACGGAGCCCGCGTCGATTGATCGGGCCGTGATATCTGCTGTGTCGGGGAGGCTCGAGAGTCGTCTGCCCGCGATGAAGGAGCGGGCTTGGTGCGCCAGGCCGTTGACGACGGCCGGAGCCATGATTGGCAAGGTGGACTTCAATTGAAGTCGCGGTACGTGGTGAAAGCTTTTTGGGTATGGTATCCGGTAGTAGTCGACGATTGCTGGCAGAACCAGCGATGATGAAGGTGAGATTGGAATATGTGGTTGTGGATGCTGTAGATGGATGGAATGCTTCTCTGCAGTCCACTCTGTAGTCGGGAAATGGGTAATGCACACACTTCTCTCTAGGCGGAATGTCGAAAAGGTGAAGAATACGGATAAGGTAAGAGGTGAAAGTTGCCTGGCCAGCTGCGTGGTGGCGGAAGTCTTGTTCCTATAGAAACCAGAAATTGCCGTGGCTGGGGGGATGTGCGCGAACAAGTGAGGTGGTTGGTGGGGGAATCTGCCTGGGGGTTGCTTCCCTGCTCCCTCTCTCGGGGCTTTATTCCTGAGGTGCGCCTGCACAAGGTGAAATGGCCCTGTAAAATGGAGAAAATACACTGACGATGGACGTATAGATTGACCCTGCAATTCGTTTTCAATCCGATGCGACCTCCAAATCCCGTATTCTGTGTTGGCGAAATAGTGTCCAGCACCCCGTCGCGCGCCTCCTTCTTTCCCAGCCTCCCAATGACGTCGAAAGTAAACAGACCCCACCCGCAGCCCAGCAACCGCACTCACCTTTCTCACCTCGCTCACCTCACCACTCACCTTACCCAATCACACCAAACCTTCCACCCCCTTATCCCCTTTCGTCAAGCACCATACCATCCTAGAGTAAGGCTCAAAAAAGTGGACACCAACGAACAACGGGGGGGCCATTCCATTCGAACCGTTGGGTCTTCCATGCCCGCTGCGCGGGAGCGCACGCGGTCTCCACCAACCGTTCGAACGCTTCCATCTCCAACACGCGCTGAGTGACATGTTTTCCTTACGCCCCCATCCCATCCCATATCCGACCATCCAGGAACAAAGTACTTTGCGAATATCCGTACCAACCACGCCTCAGAGAAAGCAGCAATGCCAAAAAAAGAAAAGAAAAAAAAAAAAAAAGGAAGAGAAGAAGCCCTGTCTCCTCAAACCAACCCTCCAGGCCCTCGAGGCCCGTCCAAACGACCCTTCTTCGGCCTCCCGAACAAGTGTACTAAACCACCCCGTTTCAAGTCTGTATCACAACGCCGGCGCCAACAGCTAGACGCTGTGTATGGCCGAGAGCTTCGTTCTTATAAGCAGGGGGGGGCGGGATCGTATTCTCCCATTGAATGTTCGAACTTTGAGGTTATTGGTCTTGCATGAGTTCAGGAGAGCGGATATACCTACAGTCACTAAATTCATATAGTTAGTTGCAGAGGCAGTCTGCAATGTGGTCTCCCGTCAATCGGGATGCCCGGAACGGGTAAGTGATTGACCCCGGCGGCGCTCCGTCTTATAATGGAAGAGGGGTGTGAACGTACAAAAGATCACCATTCGACGTCCATTGGCACCATAATCACGAGACAATTAAGCACATCAAAAACGATAGAGTTGCTGTTCCAACATGTTTATTTCATATGCGGCCTACACAGCTCAGCCATGTTAGGGGTATCTTATCCTTGCCGCTAGAATAGGAAATGAGATGGGCAGTTCATCTGCTACCAAATACCATACACCATAATAGTCCCCATTGACATTCCAAAACCCCTCCCCCTTATACCTACTCGTCCCAAAAAGGCTGGGGCCCTGACTGAACTATGTCCTTTTGTAGTCTCCAACAACGCCCCATGCCCGTGGCTTTGGAGGGGGCAGCCAAGCCCATCCCAATGGTATCCTGCTAGCAATCTCATCTAAGTAGAATTGAAGAAAGAAACAAAACCGTGCAAGGTAGCTAGCTAAGCGTATCAATTTGCTGAATGCCCTTCTCCCTAAAAGAAAAAAAAACACAAGAAGCGCGAACTTCCCGGATTGCCGATACAGGTTGTCTATCAAAATCGTCCAGCCAGCGTGTTATGTGCTGAAGAAAGCACGACACACGCTTCTCCCCGTGAGAGGCACGGCCGTGTCGTACAAGCACGACACCCATGGCTCCTCCCGGGGTACGAGACTGGAGAAAGTCTCCGCATGTGCCCAAGAAAAACACAACTCATTATCGTGTCCCGACCCTACAAATTCAAAACGTCCACGGGTCTCACCCGGGCCGCACAGCCATAGTCGGCAAGTACATGATTCGTCCTGTAAATGGTATAAAGATGCTTGAAAGATAAGAAGATAAAAGAGCAGAGCTCGCGACAGCCTCTGCTTTGGGTATAAACTTTTCCGCTACCAGAAAGTCGACCTAAGCAGTTGCAGAAGCAAAGAAGAAGGAGAAATGGAAATAAGAAGCCAATCCTATCGATACAGCTTTCAATCTGAGTTCCAAGTGCAAAAACAACGCTCGCTCTAACGAAACCGTGCAAAAAGTGAAAAACAAATGTGCGTCGCTTCATCAACTCGTCATTGTCGTTGCATTTCGATTTAGGTAAACGGAATGCGGAATTGCTCGAACTCGTCCGCTTGGCTACGGGTATAAGAGTCGGCCCGGCTTTCGGATCGATCACGGATAGCTGGTCGGTCCATGCGACTGCGGCGTTCATCGGAGTAGACTGTATCCCTATCACTACCACCAGCAATGCGTGCTGCCTGGCTGATGTTGATTTCGCCGCCATCCTGGCACTGGATCTCAGCGTTGCCGACTCGCAGCACGGCGTGACCAGTGACCTTGATGGTGATATCGTCGCCGTCAATGGCAGAAGACCGGGTGGTTCGTGTGGTGGCACTTCGTAGGAAGTCACTTTCGTCGCGGCTGTCGCTACTTTCACTGGACCTGCTGCTCTTGCTCTTCTTCCCAGCCTTTGAGAGGGCCGCAGCAGTCAGAGGCACACCGCCGCCGCCGCTTACGCCGTTCTGGTAAGCCATAGCAGCAGCCTCGGCGGAGTCATACTTGGACTGTGAGTAGCTACCGCTTTCACCGCCAGCCATGTATGAGTGGCGGCGGCTACTGCGGGTGGGGGCGGGAGCAGGAGCAGGCTCAATCTGGTATGCGCGATGACTGTATGTGCTGGAACCCCTTCGGTGACCACGAGGTCTGGCAACAACGCCGTCGTCGTATTGGTAACCATGGGGGACGATTTCCTGGTACATGGATTCTTCACCATCAAAATCGTCAGAGTCATAGCCCTGGGACATGATTTGTCGTTGCTGAGGGTGAGGTTGAGGCGGGGGACGGTAAGCCTGTTGAGGGGCAGCCGTTCGTGAACGGGGAAACGGCGGCGGCGGCATCAAGTCGCTGTCTCGAACCTTGAGAGACGGTCGTCTACCGATGGGAATATTCTCTTGCTCATAGGTTGGACCGGGTCCATGGGGGTGGGCGTGGGCGAGGCCAGGGCTAGGGTGATATCCGTAGTTGTCGTACTCGAAGGAAGACGCTGACATGGATCGGTGTCCCATGGCCGACGAAGGCCTCTGTTGGAAGCGTTGGGCCAGGTTTGAGTGTCGGGGGCTGCTCGCCACAGGGGTAGGCGGGAAGTAATCATTCGACGGCGGCGGGGGCGGATGGTGCGGCGCCTGCATAGGGTAAGGGACACTTCCGGGACCCCAGGGGCCTGGTGGTTGGGTATACGAAGTGCCAGGTGCGGGCGCGAACGGCGACTGCACATGCGGTGATGGATGGATGGGAATCGGCATAGGAGCGGGAGTAAAGGGCGATGAAGCATGAGAGGAAGGCGGTGCGTGGATCGATGGAGCAAATGGCGATGGGTTCGGGGCCGGAGTGAAGGGCGAGGCGTTGTTCGCAGCATGCCATTGCTTATTGGAGGTAGGTGGTCGAGAACCTTGGCCGTAGTAGCTGGCAGGGCGACTTGAAGCTCGGGGACGCGACCCCTGTGCCTTTGCCGGTTGCTGAACACCGTACTGCGAGGCTTCTTCTTCCGAAAAACGTGGTCTTCTGTATTCATCTGGCTTTTGGGTGGTCTTTTGGGTATGAACGACAGGCGCCGTGTTGACGTGCTTTGTAGAGGGACGGACTGCGGACTTTTTGGCGGCGGATCGCTCGCGCTGCTGATGACGATCCTCTCGTTCGCGTTGCTCCTGGTCGAGGCGTTCTTGTTCGCGGCGTACAGCCTTTTCCTTCTCCTTCTTGAGGCGGTGTCTTTCCTCTCGACGACCTTGCTCTCTGGCAGCCTCGTCCCTTGCGGCCCTCTCGGCGAGTCTCTCGGCGAGTTTCTCGGCGGCTCGATCAGCGGCTTTTTGTTCAGATCGTCTCTTCTCCCTCACTTTCTTGTCTGGGATAGCGGGGTGGACGGTATCGTCCGAGTCGGTATGGCCGTATGGCGGGGAGGCGGAGATTGGTCTCGTCATCCTGTCCTTATTGCGAGATTTGCCAGTGTTTGGCTTCTCCTTGGATGGGCTTCCTGGTGCTTGTGACTGGGCGTACTTGTCGGAGCCCTGAATGACGAACCCAGTCTCCTCGTCGACGTCTTCGCAGTGAGCAACAATTCTTTTGGGGGCCATGGTGAAGCGGTGTCGAGCGTCGTCATGGGCTATGGTGTGTTTGTGTTGGCTCGGTAGTCGAGCGACTGGTGATGAGAGGCAAAGGTGCCTCGACAGAGGCGAGCAATCGTAGGTTCGTAGCAAGTGATCGAGAGTGTGGTGAACTGGGGGGGAAGAACTTGGCTGCGGTGGGAATCGGGAACTTTTTTGTATAAAGGGCGGAGGAGAAAGACAGTGGGGATGCGGAAGGGGATGCGACCACTATCTGATGGAGGGAGGGCCCGTATTTGTGGGGATGAAAATCCGACCAGGATGAGGGGGGCGTGAAATTGGGTGTGGGAGAAAATGAGACGCTGCGGATGCTGATGCTGATGCTGGCTAGGTGTGAGGCCGGGTTACTCGTTGTTCGTTGTTGGCTGGTTGTCATAGGCTGAGAGAAAGAGAGAGAGAGAGGGAGAGAGAGGGAGGAAGAGTAAGGGTAGTCGAGGTATTCTGGATCGTCAGGAGTAGCGCGGACGAGGGAGAGATGATATTTCTCGAATCTGTTGTTGTGTTTCGTTGTATACAACGTGGGATCGATAATAATTCAAGAAACGACGGATGACCGTGGCCGTGGGCGGGCTGCGGACGAGCGTGCTCTCTTATTAATCATGCCCTGCCTGCCTGCCTGCCTACCTCACCCTACCTATGCTTTGCATTGCAGGTAAGGTACTTCGTTCGTACGGATAGGACAGGTAGCGTGAGTGCGTGCAGTTGCAGTTGCAGTTGTAGTGTAATGACTGCGGCTTGCGCCGTGAGAGGAAGAGTCCGGAGCGAAGGGAGGGGAGAGCGAGCGAAGGTGTGTGCGCAGCCCAGCAACTCATTCGCAGTACCACGAGTGTTAAAAAATAAAAACTAAAGTAGCCCACAGAGAGGCCAATCGTGGGGACGGCCTGGGCTTGACAACCCGATGGAGGGGTGTGGTCACAGCAAAAAAAGGACCTGGCAGCGGATGAGGTCTTCTCGTTGCCCGGGGTGCTCTGCCGCTCGTCCAGTGTCACTCCAATGGCCGGCCAGTGCTCGATGATAGCGAGCACTTCAAGTACCTCGAGGAAAGGAGGAGGGGCGTGTGCCTGAGCCCGCAAATGGCTATGAGAGCTCTGATGGATCTAGTGACTTGGCTCCGGCTTTGACTCTCGACTATCCGAGGCGGACGGGAGCGCTGGAACGGACTACGGTTTGCGGGAGACGGAGGACAGGCCTGCAACGTTAGAGAGGGACGGAGAGGGGGGACAGAGAGGGTGTGCGAGAAGATGGCTGCTGGTGCTGCCCAGCCTGCTACGTCTCTCTCAAGTCGCAGAGTCGAAATGCCAGGGTCTGTGACTGTCATGAACGTGTGCGAGTCTGGAGAAGCATGGGACCCAAGGAGGACAGGGAAATTCTTTGCTGTCGTCACTTCTCCCTGTCAAACTGTATCGAAATCGCCCAAAAATGGGTGGAGGACAGAGATTGCCGGCGAGTGGGAACTCTTTTTTTTTCTGGCCCTCGCTGGGTCCTGGGAGTCGGGATTCCTGGGTGGGAAAACTGCGACAACCCACTCCGGAAACAAGCCAGAGCTAACAGAATAGCCTCAAGCTCCACCGCGTGGCAGCAAGGACCGTCGAAAGGGCTCAGCTATAGTCTGCTAAATCGACGTCGAGCCAGTTCGTCTTGTTCCAGGAAGCTTCTGTTGGCTGTGGTTCATCCGCAGCACCGGCGTCAAACCAGGGAAACCCCTTCAACACAGCATTTGACCGCAAAGTTGGGAACTGGGCGGTCCCCTGGGGCTCTGGTGTTGGTGCTTTTCGTTGGCGCCGATGCCAATCGTCGCCGCTTCGAGTCAGAGCGCCAGAAGCACTCAGGCCCAACTGTGGAGAAGCCCTTGTCTTTCGTTTCTTCCCGTCCGCGACCGTTGCAATGGATTTTCCCTCGAACGGGGGTCAAGAGCCTGGCAAGGCCTGCTGGGGTGTTGCGAGAATGTGAACGGCGCGCCGACAAGGAAGCTCTTTACAGCACAAAGTGCACGACCTGGAACTTTCCATTCAGATCGATTTTCCATTACTGTAGTAGCGCTGACGTTCGTGTACGCCCATGTGTTGCGATGCCGGACAGCAGAGCAGCTTTTGCTTCTGCGAGTGTCCGTCTAAGGGCTTTTTCTACGTTGTGCCCCGATGACAAAGTTTTCTTCTTCGTGCCGCCATTGAAATCTCGAATTCGACAGCCACCCCTTCCCTCACGCAGGTCTGCTACCTTACGAAGGCCCTAGAACAGGTACTCGACGGGAACGTGGCAACAGAACAGAGGGAAACAATGCTCTCTGAGTCTTCTGCCAGCTGTCTGGATGAGACAGGATGGGCTGGCTCCCTTGGGCTGGGCTGGGCTGGGCTGCTAAAATCTGGCTGGTGGAGTGAGTCTCCGTGTGCGCGGGAGATCCACCTCCAGGGCCGAACCAGATGGGGGTGCCACTCAAAGATGACGGAGCGTTGCTGTCTGGTGCGTTGTGCCCTTTTCGGCTGGGATTTTTGGACTTCTCCATCAAATGGCTGGGTTTACTGCCCGACCTTGTGGCTGGGCTTGGTCTTTGGGTATCAACGGCGAAGCGGGCTGACGAACGACACCACAAGCGTCCAATCCTTTGCCGCGCTCTGCGGCCTGCCAGGCCTTTTTTTCTCTCTTCCTTTGACAAAAACGTGTTTTCGTCTTCGGTTAAGATATTTGGGGGTGGGCGGGAAAAAGAAACAAAAAGAAGGTTCTCAGGATTGATGAGGTGATCGACCGAGAGACAGTAGTCTGGTGCGCGCCCCATGAGGTGGTTGAGGTGGTTGACGACTCAGAGCTTGCGCAAACCAAACATCAGGAGACGTTTCCTGTACTTCCGAAAGTTTCGTTGTCATCCTGGGTAGCGTAGGTAGGCAACCAGGCGCCTTCAAATGCTTGATCAAGCTTGAAGCAAAATCTGCACACAATGCAGAACCACCTCCATCGCCCTTCGGCATCGCATCGCCAACGCACTCGTGCCGGAAAGCCCAATCATGGGCCCGACCCACCCGGTCAGGAATGCAGATTCATGCAGTCCGGGCCCGCTCGCTTTTCTCATAGGGCGGGGCCGGGACGGCAATGAGAGTCATCGCTCCATCTCGGACTTGAATGGCTGCTGTCCGTGGCCAACCTGTCCAAGCACGGATTGGTCCCTTGAACTTGTTGAACGAGGCCATGTAAGATGGCATCACGATGCTGAATTGCTGCAGTGTTGCACGTCTAGATCTGTCTCCCCACGTCTTGCTCTGTCGGTAGGGCATGCGTCTGATAGAGCTGCGTACCGTACTGATATCTTGGGGTACGATGCCCTGGTCCCTCCGTAGTGGGTACCGATCTGGCTGGAAGAACGACACTGTTTGCAGAAACAGCGTCACCGGGGTACACAGACTTGAGATCGGCATCATGTTGTTGTGGTCAAGTCACTGAAGTTTGTTCCCAACGTGACTCCGAACGACGTGTCGCCATGACAGAGTTGTTCTCGCCTCATTGGTTTTGTGTCTCGAAGTCGAAGGTGGTCTCGGACACCGCACTATCGGCTCTGATTGGGCCGTCCACATCAGCCAGATGATGTACTTCAAATTCTTCAACTGTACTGTACTGATACGTCTCCCCCTCCATTATTCCACGTAGAAGTAGATTGCCGCGATCTGATACCGTTGCAGTACCCCAAGTACAAATCGTCCAAAGGAAAGGTGACATGAAGAAACATGTGCGATTCACAATTCGTCTGGTTGGCGCCGAGACCGTTCTCCGCGCGTTGTACGCAACTGCGCATTCCGGCTGCATGACATGCACCCATCCCACAGGCATCAACACCGCATACCAGTACCCACTGTGCTTAAGATTCGTCTAGCGCGAGGACATGCCGAAATGGGTTCGAGTGAGGCCCTCCCGGAGCCTCTCGTGGCTCCGTCTTATCGAGGAAGCTAGTCAAAGTTGGTCTTCTCCTCGTTGAGATGTGGAGCATCGTCGCATTCAAGGCAATGAACGGGTCGCCAGGATCCTCGGTTCGGTATCTTGCGGAGAATGGATGCGATCTATATTGCGCACGTTGGCAGTCAAGTGCCTCCGTCCATTAACATTTGAGTCGCTCTGTGTTTTGTACAGAGCTGCCGCACCAGTCAACAACCGCAGTCGAAGACATCGTCATCACGAATTGTATGCGGAGAAACATAGTTCGTGTGCTTGGGAATGCGGAGGGCAAGAAAACGGTTCTGATGAACGCCTTCAAGTGTATGTATCCATCCAGATCTTTAGATCTGATGCACGCCACGGTTGCATTGTTTAGCAATTTTACAAATCAAGTATGGCGAGCCTGCCATTTGTCCGATATGCCACTCTTGCACGCTCGAAATACATGAAGCCGAGAGCGGACGCTGCTGCAAAGACGCGATGGACTGACATGTCGATATATCCGAGGCGGACGGATCGACAGGCTGTTGTTGGTTGTGGAGCGAGGAACTTGACACCATCTCGGAGCCACACCGCCTTTTCGCTTGAGGCATAATCCCTCAACGCCACCGTTGAAAGCGGTCCCAACGCGCCACATTGGTAGGCAGAACGTAACATGGCCTGCCGCATTGAAGTCGTGTGGCAGAGATAGAACCAACGTAAACGATATAATACGCAGCGGTTCGGGAAGATAATACCGTTGTGATCGTACCGTATGCGAACGCCATATCGACAGACTTTGGAGGCTTGAAATGCTGCAACGCCACTCGTCGTTGGCAGTGTACATCGACTTTCCAATAGCCTGTTGCGGCGAGACCTTATCACTCGATGCTGAGCGGTTGTCCATCTGCTGCACGCCAGTCTGTTTCACGCTTTGGAATGTCGGAGATGCAGGGAGCTTGTCTCGGAGACTCGGGCAGGTCCAGATCTGCCTCTTCAACGCCGCCCGATTTGCGTGACATTACACGGGAGTCCACGATTCTGAATTCAAGCCACGATTGACGTGTAGCAGTGTTTCAGAAGATATTGCTGGCCGCTCGTAAGACAGGAATCTCAATGTCGGCAACAACCGGCCTATGATCAGACAGATAAACACCGTCATCGAATTTGTTCGATAGCACGCCAAATGTCTTGATGGTCGCCGGGCTCGGATCCTTCACAAACAAAAAGTCGATCCTCTTCGGTTCCTCGTCCGGCTCGTCAAACGATGTGTACGTGATATTGTTTCCGTATCGCTTCGCTTTAGAAACCTGAGTTGAGACATCGACCATGCCTGACTCCGGTGCCACCATTGTCTTATAGGCATTGTCATCCGGGGTACTGTTGAAGTCACCCGCAAGCAGGACGGTTGTCGGAGGTTTTCCGTTTGCTCCCTTGCTCCACTCTCGAGCAACGTTGAGAAGTAGTTTGGCGCTTTCCTCTCGAGCCACAACACCTCGGTGGTCGAAATGTGTACTCATGACAACGACACGCGAGTCTGTTTGTTTATCGAGAAACTCCCCAACGGTAACCACACGGTTCAGTACGGCATCCCATCCTCTAGATGGCTTTTCTGGTGTCTCGCTCAACCAAAGAGTTTCATTCCGCTCGCAATGCCAACGTTCAACCTGGTAGAAGACTGGTGAAAATTCGCCACCTCGTTTGCCATCATCACGACCAAGACCTATATGTCCCCAGGCAGGACCGAGGTAAGACTGGATGTCTTCAAGTTGAGAGTAGAGGACTTCTTGAAGACAGATAAATGCTGACTCATGGCCAGTCGTGAGGAAGTCCAGCTGGTTGCAGAGTTTCGGACCCCGAAAGCTCCATGGTTTCTCGTTGGGAGTGGGGTTTGTCGTTGCATACCGGACGTTCTGGCTCACTAGGCGGAGCAGCATAGAACTGGCCGCTGCCGACTTTGGGTTGTCAAGTTTGACGAGCATGTTGACTGCGCGATACACAATCAGGCGAGCTGTGAGAAGAGTTGAGATGTGTTGTCCAGACAGACTTGGACGGCGGGAGCTTGACAGTAGGCCGGGGCCGTGCGCCTTAGCTGCGGAGACTAGAAGTTGACGGCAGAACGCCCAGGGGAAGGTGATGGGCGCGAAGAGCAACAAGAAGTTGGATGAGAAGGAATTTGATAAAGTTTTCCCTTCCTCGGCAACACCCTAAGATGATGAGGTGTCGTTGGATGGATTGGATCTTTGACGTTGGAACAAAGCTGAAGCTCGCTTTACTTGAGATGGAAAGAGCAGGCATCCTCCTGCCCCATCTCCTGCTCTGCGGCTGCCCCGGCACCTGCCCGCCCCGGCTGGCAAGTGGGTCACGTGCTGGTTCTGGAACTCGGCGGGGAAGGAAGCAACGGCCGTGGCGGCTGGGCCCAAGCTCCTGCATTCTTTGGCGATCCGGGGTCTGCTGGGCAAGGTAAGGAAGGCATTTTCGCCTTCCCCGGATCTTCCTCCATGGAATTCCAAGCTGAGCAGCCAACCCATTTTCGATCCCTACCTTACATGCCTACCAACCAACCAACCAACCTACCTACCTACAGTCTACATATACCGACACAACCACCACGATCCTGTCACTTTAGTCAGCCTCGAAACATAGTCGACTCACGCCACGGACCATGGCGAGAAGACAAATTCGGACGGCGGGGTTTCAATCTGTCAAATTTCACATTGGCGCCTGGCATTCCTGCTGATGCCTTCACCGCTAATCGATGGCGCCAGTCTTTGATGGAATGCCTTGGAAACGTCCACCTCCCCAGTTACTAGTCTTTCGCAAGGTAGCTCGGAAGCCATCACACACTCTCAAGACTCCCAAGTCTTATCTCCGCATTCTCGTTGGATGCGCGGCCAGCCCTCCCTCCATCTCAATGTCCCGAGACTCTGGATGGCGTTCTTACGTGGGAATGGGCAGCTAGGTAAGGTAAGCTGGCGCAGACAATAGTCCAGTCTCACTGCCTCGCGGGTCGATTACTCACCATCTCAGAATAATCAGGGAAGCCTGGTGTCACCCGATCCATCCAGCCTTTCCCAAAAAGCCGGCCTCTCCCAGTAAGCGTCTTTGCGCGGCGGGCTGATACCAGCACGACGACCCACAAACCAGTCACGTTCTTATCACGGCCCGCTGCCCGACTTCATTTTTCGAGACGTGATTCAGGCCTCATGGGATGGCAGCGGCTACGGTTCTAGGAGATGTTCGTCCGCTCTTGTCAAATCCAAGTCATGACGCAATGTGTACACAGTCGGGAAACCAGCTGACTTATTTTAAGTCAAGACAGGACCTTGCAAGGAAACCAGAGCTATTCGGACAAACCATCGACATTTCCACTTCGATACGGGCCTCACTTGAGCTGCTTCGTATTTCGCGAGATTTCGGGGGGGTTCTTCGGAGAAATCAGGAAGGATGGAGAGGTCAGAGGCCTCATAATCAAACGACGAGTGTGCTGCATGCCCATCTCGCAGCAGTTCATGCACCGTGGCGATCTTCCATTTCTGAGGCTGAGGGTGGTGCAGGATTCGGATGGGTGACTGGCCGAGGCGAGTGTGCGAGCAGCAAAGGCTCACGACTTCACCGAGGAATCATCGGAATTTGGCTGCCTTTTGTCCAATCTACAGTGCGGTGTGAGGCCGGTCTGTCGAGCTGACTCAAATGCGCCACTTGGAGGCGTCATGCAAGGTACGCCAGCCGCTCTAACAAGCGTGGGAGGGCGATCAAAAACTTGTCCCTTGGCCAGTCTAGTCGACAACAGTCTTGCACATTCCTTGCTTGTAGGTTCATGGCCTCGAAAATGCGCACCGGTCAAGCGACGGTGGTTTTGCACACTGGGGGAATCGGCACGTTCGGTTGGCGCTATGGTGGGCAAGGTAGTCATCTGCCTGACTCGGCCTCCAACCAATACGTGTGGTGGTTGCAAATCTGTCTCAGCTTATTCATATAAGCCGCGGTAGTCGCGCGCCGGTCGACACACCCACACGGAGGAACGCGAAGCAGCCAAAAGACCGGATTTCCTTGCCGTCTGCCAGGAATTGTGATAGATTTCAATACGAATCCCAGCCCGGGGCCTCAGCTTACCACCATTTCCGGATGCGTATCTCTGCTTCTGGCTGCACCCCGGCCATTTGGAGACACTGCACAGCTTTTTCCCAGACACTCATGGCGGGTGAGGAGTCACGCTCCTCATAGGCCTCTTTCACGTGGGGGTTGATGGTGGCTGGCTGCCCCGCGATATTGAGACCTCTGCACTGGGCAATGGGCACTGGTGACCTCCATCTTCCAGCCATACAAGGCAGCTCTTGGCTGGGTTAATGTGACTGAGCCGAATCACCAGCCAGCCTGCAACCTTGTCGGTGTGCGTGCGTGCTTGCGTGTGTGGGTGGGTAGGTGAAGGCAGTGTCGGATAACGTCCGCCTTGCACATCTTCTGCCTGGCTGAGGCTGCGATGGAGACATATAAGTACGAGTACACCGCCTCGTCTCCAGCTTGGGTTCCTTCACCTAGGTCTGTCGCGTTTTACAGCATCATATCATTGCTGAAACCACAGACAACATCAAGTTACTTGCCACTTTTGTTTGGTATACTTTTGAGCCGGCACAGACCGGCGAGGACCTAACTCGTCTTGTCAGTGATTTTACTGTCCAGACGCCTCTTCCCGAAACTTTCAAGACCAACACATAATTACTGCCAATTTAATAAACAACCGGCACGATGCCTCAAACACCAAAGACACCCTCACGGCGAGACTCATGGCCACCAACCTTGGTGCGCCTCGCCCCTACAATTCCCAAGGACTACCCATCCCTCGACGATATCGACGAGGACCCCTTGACCTACTTCCTCACACCCGCGCCTGATCTGGAGGAGGACGATGAGGACGATATGGCCATGATGGATTTTGATGCCGGCATCGAAGATGACAGCGAGCGCGAGATCGTCCGCAGCGTGAGCCCCTCAAGCCTGGACGGCCTGGACAAGTCGAAGGGTCGCAGCAAGTCACCGCCCGTACCCGACCTCTCGGACCTCGCCATGCCGGACACGGACGACGAGGAAGAGGACTACATCCGCTTCGCGCCGCATGGGTTCATGATTCCCTTTAGCCTGCGCGACTTCGCCATCGACGGTCTCAAATCCATGGCCAAGTCAAAGTCCCGCCCTTCTAAGCCATCGAACAACAATGTGATTCTCTCGCCATCGTCGTTCCCGCCTACCCGGGGCCGAGCACCCGTGCGACCGGCCGGCGGGCGGGGCCGGCAGAGGACGACGTCGTACCGGCACCACCGGCCGCAGCACGTCTGGCGCGAGCCGAGCCCGGATGTCTGGTCTATTGAAGAGGAGACGGAGGAGGAGCTCCTGAGCGAGATGGGAAGCAGCGTTGGCGCTGTGAGCGACATGGAGGGCGATGAGACGGAGGAGAACGCGACGATGTGTCCGGACAAGAGCGGAGACGTACAGGCTGCGAAGCCGAAGAAGAAGGTCCGATTCCTGTTGCCCTCTTTGGAGTGAGCGACTGGTGATTCTCACAAGCATTAAGCATTTCATGGCGTTTTTGGGGGTAAAGCATATTCTATCTGCATTGGGAGGTTTATCTTCATTCTATTTTCCTCTCTTCATTTCCTTCTTCTCCTTCGGTATACGCCGCCCTCTGGTAGGGGGTTATTTCTAACAGCATGCATGGGGTATGGGAGTTTTGCACAATACCCGTCATTTTGGATGGTAATTTGGGTCTTGGAGCATTTCTTCCATCTTTTTCGAAGGATGTGGCACACGGGCATCTTTTTGGGGGGGGGGGGGGGGGGCATATGGGAATTCGGGGCACACACACACAAACACACACACAGATTTTTAGGTGCATAATTGGAAGCAACCGCTATGAAGGGCGGAATAAAAACCCTGATCTACACATTTTCACAACCCTTATCTTCTCGTCTCTAGTGTGGTGTGCATGCCTACTGCGCGGTCAATGAAGTTTGACGGGTGACTAGAAGATGCAGGACGTGCGTGACTGACGGCTCTTTTTATTTTTATTTTTTTAGTTTGAGCAGCTGAGTCTGATTGCAGATGTAAGGCGAGGGCAAGGCGAGAGGGAGAGGGAAAAGAGTGTGACAATACTCTGAAAGCAGCATCGCTCACACGCTCTCGAATTCTCGCAGAAAAGTCAAGGTTTACTCACGCCTGGCGATAGCTGGCGGGGGATGAGAATCGAAGGGAATCAAGGTTTAGAAGAATCGTACTTTTTGCTGTGTGATGCTAGATCTCGATCGCGGGCCCCACGCGATAGCCTCGAGCTGGATAAAACAAGGTCTTGCGGAGGTCTTGCGGAGGAGGAAAGTCTCACTCTCATAGTCTCGAGTCTCAGCAGGGAGGGAGGGAACTCGGAAGGGCGAGGAGGAGGAGAAGGTGGAAGAGAGTGGACGGCGGTCCCACACCACGTGCAACTGGGCGGCGGGCGGAAGAGACCTCGTGATGTTCGGGGCCCGTATCGTTTTTTTTTCGCTGCTACACTACGCAGTACGTCCGAGACAATTTCGCGGGCGCTGTGTTGCGTGTATTTGGGTATGGTTTGGTAGCGATTTTGGGTTATTGGATGGGAAAACAGGGCATGATGGTTTGCCTGCCTTGCTTTTTCCAGGACCTGTAAGACTATGGATATAATAACGAAAGTAAAAAGATGGGAAACTCGGAATGTGGTTTTGAAAAAGACCGTGGGGGAGCCAAGTCCCAGCCAGACCTTGATTTTTGGTGCTATATGAGAAGTTGTTATCGCGAGTAAACAAACGGGTTGCATGTCCCAGATTCATGGGGCCCCCTGTTGAAAAGATGAGGCGGCGTCAATGCTCCTCCCCCCTTCCCCCCGCCTGTTACGGACTGACAGTTTGGCAGTGACAACGACGGCGACATGGGGGCGAGGATGATAAGTTAGTTACTTACCTATCAACCGCAGTTTCAAGGATGTCCCCGTTGTTGTCGTGTTGCCTACGACACCGACTGGCAGTCATGAACTCGAATAAGATTTGTATTTTTTGGGAAATAAGACAACCACGTACCCGGGGGGAAAAAATTCGAGTCAGAGTGAGCTGGCCTTCTTCTTCTTCTTCTGTCGGTCTGTCTGTATCTATGCCCGACGAGCTGCATTTGTTGGCAAGCATTGGCAGCAATTACGGAGTCAAATGTCATTCGCTTCTCTTGCCTGGTTCGTCGATCACTGGGAATGACGGTGGGTTCCTTTCCACTCGTACGACAGGATTCACTTGAGAAAAGTTGAGGGGTCTTGGTGTCAACATCCGAGATCCGATCTAGCTGGCAGAAGCGAGGGGCTAGGTAGGGCGAGGGAATTAGAGTCCGTGAGGCGAGCGAGTGCTCAGAGATTAGGGATGCCCAGATTACCTTGGAGCACTTGGACAAAGGCGGGAAATGATGGACGGGGGCGGGATTCCATGAGGACGGATAGTCCACCTTGAAATTCGCCAGGGGAGATTGGCTGTCGGTATTGGAGAAGACGGCCTCGGGGAGATTTGCGAGCGACACACCGGCCATTATCAGGATGCGTAAGCCTGGTAAATAACCTGTTGCGTGGATGGACAGAGTGACAGATTCCCATGAGTTTTCTGGAAAGCACATGCAGCACAGCAGCACAGCAGCACAGCGGCAGCAAGGAAGACAGGGCGTAGCAGGCTAGCAGCAAGAATCCTTGCATTGATGCTACCTCACCTACCCACGTCCCGATGCTTCCCATTGACACCAAGTCTTGTTTTTTTCTTGCGAATTGCGCCTGATGTCCCTGATGTCGAACTTGGTCTGGAACCCTCAGCTGCCTTGCCTCTCCAGTATGCCATTTGATTGGCTACTAGCCGGGATGTCTGTGCTGCAGCCTACAGGGCACCAACTCTACCTGATAGCCCACTAAACCTTGTAGAGGGTACGTACTACATAGGTATCATACGCAGTACTTCGTACGCAGCACGGATGGTGAGAACCTGAAGGGAAGAGGGACGGCCCCACCTGTGTCGGTTTGTTTATGTCTAAGCTCCGGCGTCAACATCCACTCGTTACTCCGGCAGTGCCAGCTCAACGAAGCCCTCGATTGGACCAACTGCAACTGCTGCTGCTGCTGCTGCTCCTCGACAAGAAGTCGAAAAGTCTGGTCGCTTTGATATGCGCTGTCTCTACCGTCTCTACCTTAATTCGTACATACGCAAAGTCACAAACAGACTTCATCACACATACAACGGGATTGTCTGTCGAGCTGCTCCCTTTTTTTTTGCATGCCTCACCTCACCTCAACTCACCTATCATCATCCAACCAACGTCTACATACACGGCCTGCAAAGTCGGCCTCTTCTCCGTCTCACCGACATACAGCCTCGCCCTCACCTCCCTCTCCCACACATTACGCTGACGTCTGGCTTCCATTTGCGCTCCCGGTTGCAACCCCTCAGCTGTCAACAACAACCGTATCCTCCAGCTCCCGTCTACCACATGCTCCCATAGGAACGCAGCAGATCATTTAACCTTAAGCGGCAGCATGCATCTCACCTAAGTCAGTCCTTCCCACCTTGTCGCTCGTTACCTCACCCAAACGAAAAAGAGAGGGGGACGCACCTGTACGACACCAACTCGTACCTGCCCACCGCTTGCCCGCAGACTGGTCCTGTTACTAACTGAACCTTTTGCCTCCGTAGATAATGTCTCCCAAACCTCCCGACGAGAAAGAATCGCCGGATGCTGCGCCGGCGGCGGCGGCAGCAACAACCACGAAACCCTCCACTCCCGCCACCAAGGAAAGCAATGCGCCGCCCACGACTCCCAAGGCCGCTCCTGCCCGCCCCCGCGCAGCAACCATGAAGAAACCACCAGAACCTCCGACTCTGCTCGCCGATTTCCTCAGAGGACGCCCCTCTCCACAGCGTGTCGCCGCCGAACGAAAGCGAAGAATGAGTCTGGATGCTGTCAAGGCCGAGCTGAGGGCAGAGATGCGGCAGGCTGCTGTCGCAAAAGTACAACAGCCCGGCGGCGTCAGGGAGCGTGTGAACAAATGGCAAAAGACGAATGCCGCAGCCATGGCCTCGGCTGATCCCCTGGCACCCCCCAGCGAGCCTACCGAGCTCGCCTTCCCGGGCGACACGGAGAGCGTCACGGAAGAGGACCGCGTTCGCATCAAGTTGCGGCAGAAGAGGATGTCAGCACCAAAAATGTCTACCCCAAAGATCGAAGTACATAATGATGGCCCGGCCGACGAAAAGGATGAGACCGTCGAGGACCTCCCTGGCGGAGAGGCCAAGCTGGCACCCAAAAAGCGAGTCGTTAGCGACGACCATTGGATGGCGCAGAAGAGAAAGAAGAGCCCCACGAGAGCGAAATCGCCCCGGACCAAAGACGCCAGCCCAAGTCCCACCCCAAGCCCTTTGCCAAAGGGGTTCGTGCAAAAGACGCCCATCCAAGCACCCATCTCCAAGAAGATTCAGGACTGGGCAGCAAAGGTGGAAATGCCAGACCCCCCACTGGTCAAGCAACACCGGGCTGCAAAGTCAACAGACTCGCTCGACGGCAGCAGGATTCAGGCAAGGCTCAAGGAGCTTCAAGAAAGGCAGGCTACGTTGCCAAAGAAGGCGATGGACGACGATGGCATCAGAGTCACGCCGATAAGAACCAAAAAGCTCGATGACGACGGAATCCGTGTCAGGCCACTGAAGACACCAGCATCGGAAGGGTCTGGCGTCAAGACACCGAGACCACAAAGTACAGGTGCCAAATCCCGCGAGCGTAGCCGCGGGGCCAGCGCGAGACATGAGTCGGCGGACGAGATTGTGGTGGTTGAAGAAGACGAGACCGCCATCGAGGTCACAGAAGATGCCGAGTCTAGTGTGCCAGCAACACCGACGCGGAAACCGTCAAAGGCACGCAAAGTGAGCCACAAGAAGAAGGCTCCTCCACCGTCAGACGACAAATCCTGGGTTAGCACCTCGGAATCAGCAGTCAGGACAGGGCTGGACAACTCGGATCTTGCGCCAAGCTCACTCACCAGCGCCCCTGGCGCGAAGCCACTGGCAGACATCCCTGTGGGATTCTCTGCTTTCAGTGAGCTGGATCTGCCCCTCAACAAGACGAGGCAAAAGGCACAGCGCAATCCCAGCTTCAAGGCTGCCGATGTGCTCAAGAAGGTGGTTACCGGCGGCAAGAAGATCCTACATGACGCTGTTGAGCCTCCGAGGCAACCCGTTGCCAACCAGCCTCCCAGTATCGAGAAATGGCTTAACGGGACGGTCGATCCCTTCGTCGATGAGCCGGCGAAGAAGGAAGAGTCATCCGCGCCGGCGCCCAAGAGGAAAGCGTCCGAGAGCAAGCCCGTCGACAAGACAAAAGCGCAAGACACCCGCAGGCGATCATCGGCTGAACCCCGTCAGCGAAAGCCTTCCCTTCCGACTCAGACTGAGCTTTCGGAATCCACTGGGCTCACCGAGTCCACCCAGACAACACAAACTACCGACATGACTCAGACTACACAA